AGGCATGTAGGAAGCCAGCCCCAAAGACAGGACCTTAGTGATCTACTTCCTCCATTGCACCCTACCTCCTATCTTTCGTCACTACTAAAAATTTCCATAAAATGATAAGCCCATCAAGGAACTGATCTGTTTGTTAAGTTGAAGGCCTCATACTTGTGTCTCTGGAAAAACTCTCAGAGACACACCCAGAGGTGTGTTCTACTAATCCCCTGGGCACAATCAAATCGACAATCAAAATTAGCCAAAAAATGTTTTTTTATTTTTCCCAAGAAATGTTTGCATAATCCCAAATATGTAGAAATATAAGACAGGCATATAAATCAAACATTTGCTGAAAACAACTATTTGATAAAAGTAGAATTTTCCCATTTATTTAAAATGAAAGCAAATCTTTGTTTACTTAATGAGATGGGTTTGTTTACTTTTACACAAAGAATTACACAAAGAATCAAATTAATATTTGATACTGTAAGAAACAAAACATCCTCAGTGTCTGTCAGATCTGAATGATATATTGATTTTATAATGGTCACTGCAGACAGTGCTGCTTTTCTTAAATGCATAGCACAAAAGAGCATGTTTGCGGCCATTTAAGAATTTTTGGGAATTTCTCTGGTCTTATTCCAAGCAAAGTTTAACAACTTTTAAAGAAGCCCAATCTAGAAAATCACACAGAAACTTTGAAAATCAAACACAGTGCAATCCAAAGATACACTAATTTGATGCTTCTATGCAGAGGAATGGTGGTAGGAAACATCGAACGTTTTGTTTTCTACAGTCAAAACATTGTGTTTATATAGCAACAGAAAACAGGTACAACAAAGAACACTACAATTCATAATACACAGTAGTCTCAAGTCTAATCTAAGGTGTTACAGGCATCGTGTACAGGTGTTCTACAGAGGGCCAATACTGGTAGTCCTAAGTTGGGTGTTCAAAAGCAAGGCTGCAGAAAAGTTAGGACTTATCATACCTTTGATTTTTAATTTTATTTTTGTTTGTTCATTTATAAATGGATGTGTGTGTGGGGGGGTGTGCACGCGCTTTTCACTCGTGGCTACTGGAGCAGCAGAGGCTGGTAGGGTACCATGTGTCCTCCTCTTCCACTGTCTGCATATTCTTTTGAGGCAGGGGTTCTTCCTGAATCTGAAAGTAAACAAGCCCCAGCAATCCTTCTGTCTCTGCCTATCTCAGAGTTGGGGTTACAGGTGTGTGCTGTCGACACTCAGCTAAATACCTTCTGGGACCCAAACTTCAGAGCTCATGATTACACAGCAAATGCTCTTATCTGCTGGGCCATTCTTCCTGCCACCCCCCACCCTGTTTTAAATTTTTAGTCATTGTACATTGAGAAATGTTTTGCTATAGCTCTCCACCTTCAGTTAAGTGACCCCCATATTGGGTTCCATTTTAAGAAGCTAAGGGCTACAGTTCACCTAAGCTTATCTTGCCAAGAGTGGAGTCTTCCAAAGTAGCTCCAGGTTGTCTAGCATGGTCACAACTAGAGCAAGACTTCCTGAAGTGGGGAGTCACAGCTTTACCAACAGTCATGGTTGTGTGGTCCTTGTGGCTGGAGTAATTTTCTCCAAGTGATTGTAGAGTGCTCAGAAAAGCCAGACTGCCCTCTGCTGGTTGCTAAAAGAAGGGCTGCCTGACTGACAGCTCAAAGCAGCCAGGTATAGGCATATGGGGAAAAGTTTGTCAACTGTCACTCAAGAGACTAAACTCTTGACATTTCTACCAATTTAGCTTATTTAAACAAACAAACAAATAATCAAGTATGATTATGATAAAAGCAAATCATAGGATTACCATTCTCAATAGTACTTAACATAGCACAAACCTTTAGCCACATATCCTTTGGGAGAGGAGATCCCTAGGTCTCTCAAAGGGGAAAGGTTAAAGTTCCATGATTCCCTTCAAGGGCTTTCTCCCTGAAATCTAATGCAGTCTCTCTTGAAGTTTCTTCCACTTCTCAATACCACCACAGACTGATGACCAACCAAGCCTTGGAACAAGAGCCTTCAGGTAGGCAGGTCAGATCCACACTGTAACAATGATTACAACTCAGAGAGCACCTGATGCATCTGGGCTGCTAAGTATTGCTCATCCTCTGCACTTGATCAAAAGGCATCTATCTGTTCTTGAATACCGGATACCGGAACATTAGCTAGGGGAGGAAAGTGTCAGCCCCCAAACAGTTTTCACCTCAAAAGGAGTAAGGAGTTTATTCAGGAGCCAAATGTAACCAATCATGGCCCAGGAATACAGATTCTTGTTTCTTCTAAAAACAATGTTCCATTGTAGAAGTGGTTACATGAAATTTTTATTAGTTACAAAACAAAGTTGTAAATCAAAGTATTTATCTACTTGTAGGTGGGTTACAGCAAAGCAGGTTTTAGATTCTATCTGATGACAGTGTTAGCTTTTGATGGATGGACGCTGGTAGTCTGTTAAGAATGCATTTCAAAGTTTTGATAGTTACAGATTGCTAATTCAGACACATGGATGGGCAATGGATGGCTTTCAGAGGAACTAAAAATAGCTCAAGATATTTTGGTTCTTGTATGTAATATCTTAACTGCTGCAAAATCTTGAAGGTAGTCATTTGGCCTTAAAGAATTTTTAATATAAGTGTAGCCTGCCTTCCTTTTTTACTTCATTCCTTCCCTCCCTTTCCTTACTGGAGCATCAATTGAAATCTTGTCTCTACCTCTTATTACCTTTATGAACCTAGGTCATTATAAGAAACTCTAGTCCATCATCTATAAGCAGGAGGCAATGATGACAGGGTCTCTTGTTGGATAGCAGTGTTAGTGTTGGTGGGGGGTGTGTATAAAGGATAAGTAAGGTTTTGATTGTAAAGTGCTAGGCATATTGACTACATCACAAGTTCTTAGTAAATAATGATGGTTATGATTAGCTGACTGCTGTATCTTTAGCTGTCTGAGGCACTATAAATAATATAATTATTTAAGAGACTAAAACAATGAAGAAGTTTTTCATATGCAATGCTGCAGCAGAAAAGGCAAAAACCGATGGTGTAATATTTTGGTACAAGACTGGTTTTCAAGGTTCCCCAACCTGGAGAAATTCCTGTCCTTGTCTCCATTGGCTGGGACTTGCCCCTCCCCCAAACTCCCCATTTTATTGGTTTAGGACACAATGTCTTATCTAAAGAATAGTTTGGGGCTTGAGACAGCCCCAACCCCACCCCTTTGTGACCATGGGCTCAGTAAGGCAGCAGACTACCTGTAACTTTCTTCTCAGAAAAAGCCAGCAGCAGCCACCAGCAAGAGGGCCAGTTGCTTCCTGTGGCTCTGATGAATTCTAGGTGCATCTCACACTGAAAATGGACCATAATAATCTATTTTCTTACAGAGTACAAAAGCAACTCCAGAATTTCTGGTAGGAGGGACTCAAAGGGATCGATCTCACTGGAAACATACCCTCAGCACTGATCTATGATAAGACAGACAGAATGAGTAAGGGTTCAAGAAGATGGAACCAGAGCCCTCCCCTCAACCCCTTTGCTCATTCAAGAGATTTTTCTCTCATCCCTCTGTTGGTCCTCCTCCCTTATCAACCAACCAAATACAGAACAGACCCTGCCAATATTGGAACTCCAGAAGGGAAAGGAATGTGATGCACACTGCACATTCTCAGAGAAGAGAGTGGATGCTCTACCGGTGGCCCTTTGCAAGTGCTGCCTATGCTCCGAGTTGCTAAACCATTCCCTCAGCACCTTGTTTTGTTTTAATCTTTTTGAGACAAGATCTATGTATCCTTGGCTGGCCTGAAATTCCCCCAAGTAAATCAAGCCAGCCTCAAACTTAGGAGATCCACCTGCTTCTGCCTTCCAAGCACTGGCATTAAAGGCTTAACATTATTAAGCACAAACAGCGCTCGCTCAAGGGTGACCGGCAGGTCTGAATGGGGTTGTGGGTATGCTCAGACTGCAATGCTAATTCCCAAGTGAGCCTCTGATTTCTGCACAGCTGACTCTTCCACAGTCACCTCACCAAGGACAGTGGCCGCCTCTGCTTTTCTTTCCTGCTCCTGCCCAGCATTCCTGGAAATGTTTATTTTTAACCTTGAAACCCGGGCTTCTCTTCTAGTTAGCTGTGACCTTGGGCGGACTAATGTGCTTAGTTTCCTCCATACCAAGAACAAGCTTAAGGGCTGTTACTAACCTGGAGGGCTTAGTACAGTATCTATCCACGGTGTGTTTTTGAGACATTAGCGCTGGTGGTGTTTCATGTCTTAGTAAACAGGCCCGAAAACAAAACTGGCAAACGTATTAATGCGCTCTAATAATATGGCTAACACTCTACTCCAGGCTTTAGTTTTTACACACAAGCAAGTTGCAGCTTCTGAACTTGTTTCTTCGTCTGCCTCATCTAGACTTCACTGATCCAACATAAAAACGTGAGTCAAGCGTTCCTGGTTCCTTTCTCATAGGAGCTATTGCTATAGTAACCATCCACCCAGGGCACTAAAGGTGGGGAGATTTTTAAGGGTTTATGGGAGCCAGAGATTAATAAGAAATTAGCATTCTAATAAGCGGGAAAATGGTTTACTGTCGAGGCTTTCAGGTTGCTGGCCCTTTCCGTTTTGAGCATCTGTAGGGATCTCATTCTGAAAATAAGCCTACTACTCTCTCTCCTTCCTTCCCGAGGTCACTTTGAGGGATGGAACCTCAGGAACCACGTAAGGGAAGATTACTGTCGTTGGTCCCTCATCCCGCTGGCTCGCCTGCGCGTGCGGGAGACCTGGAAGGGTAAAGCTTGCAGTCAGTCCGTACCATTTAGCAAAATTCGGCGAAAAGGTGGCGTGGAAATGCTGGCTGCTGCTTTGTGACGAGGCTCAGCGAAGAGACAACATCACCCAGAGCCTCCCGAGGGAAGGACTCGCGGGCGCGAGGACGCCGGGTCACGTGGGCGCGGCGGGCGCGCGCCCCAGCCCCGCGGGAGGAGGTGCGCGGGAGGGGGCGGGGCCGGGGCCTCCCGTGAAGCCCCGCGCGCGGAAGGACCGGAACTCCGGGCGGGTGGCTTGTTGATAACATGGCGGCAGCAGCTGCCCGGGCATCCCGAGGAGGCGGCAGCGCCCACACCCGGAAGAAGGGACTGTTTTCGGGCTAGTGCGGCGGCTTCTGCGGACCCGGAAGTCCCAGCCAGCTGCTGAATGAGGGGAGCCGGGTCCTCCCCGCGACAGTCCCCCCGCGCCCTCCGCCCCGACCCGGGCCCCGCCATGTCCTTCTTCCGGCGGAAAGGTAGCCGAGGGGTCGCCGGCGGGGGGCGAGCCGGGCGGGGGAGTGAGGGCAGCCCGCCTGCAGGGGTTTTGTCAGGGCGGCCGCGAGGGTCTTGATGAGCCTCTCGGCCTCGGCGCCGACACCCGCGGTGCGGTGCGCTTCCCGGGACTCTGCAGGGTAGAAGGTGGCCTCCTCATGCGAGGTCGGAGGGGCATGATCGTGCTGGGCCGAAAGTGCTTGCTCAAACCCATGGAAGTTGACACTTGTTTGCTAAAGAACGGCTTTCCTCGGTGTGTTTGGTTTCCAGAGGGTGGGTGGGTGGGTCTGTGTGTGTGTGTGTGTGTGTGTGTGTGTGTGTGTGTGTGTGTGTTGTCTATGAGCACGCGCGCAGTGTGGATCTAGATCAAGGAAATTCCTTTACTTATATGAAGTATGACTTTTCCGAATATCGAGGGACTTACACCTAAAACCACGTGAAACTGTTGTTTCTTCAACCAGCGCTATTATCTAGTTTCCTCTTTTGGGGGCAGGGGTGGAGAACGGAAGGGGGCCCACTGATATTCTTAAAATAAAATTTCTTACTACTGAAGTTCCGTATTCAGACGACTACTGCTTTTGATGGTTTAGCAGGTTTACTAATTATCGGAGTCGTTGCTTTTTATATATATATATATATATATATATATATGTATGTATATATATATATATATATATATATATATATATATATATGAACTACTTAGATTTCTGATGTTCAGTTGTAAAAGCTTGCTCAGTTTAAAAAGTAAAAGTAGAGGCAGGATGGTTTTGATGCTGGAGACGGTTGTTGCATTTCATTAAAAATATACAAATTGGTCAAGCAAGTCTCTTTAGATCAGGTGATGGTTATTATCTGTCTTGTTGCTTCAGAGATGTACCAGACAGATAAAAAAAATTTACACTAAACTTGCATTCACTAGATTTGTATTCACATGACAGCTTTTTCATAAACTCTGTAACCCGGAACAGCCAAGTTAACCCACTTCTCTCCCAGCTGAGAATCAGGTGATTCCTAAAGGTCTCACAGGACTGAAACTGACTGTTAATTTTGGATGATAAATGAATGAAACTAGTAAAATGTTAGGAAGCTTTGTCAGTAAGGTTCTTTGTCAGTAAGGTATCTTAATACCTCTGGAGTTATTAACTTTAACTAGTTTGACAGTTTTGAATGCTCACTTTTTAAGGGGGAAAATACATTCGAAGTATGGGACTGATTTCATGTTGCACGACAACAAACTGTTGTCTGTTTATTCAACACTCTGCCAAGTGTCCAGTCTGCCCAACACTGCTAGGATGTCATTGAGCAGTCAACTGGACAGAGTCCCTGTACCTATGGAGCTCATTCATGCTGTAGGAAGACAATAAATAAGCAAAAAATAAGTAAGTAAACATTTTTAAAAATTGTGTGTGTATCCTTACAAACTGAATGGCGTGTAATGAGAGAGTAATTTATGAAAAGGAACCTATTTTGGCTGGGTGCTAGAGGAAGAACTCAGTATGTAACCTTGAACCATAAAGCTAGTGGATCAGTATTAGGATGTAACATTAGAGAGGTCAGGAAAGACACTAAGTACCAGGAATCAAGAGCTGGTGCCCTTCAGGAAAGGCAAGCCAGCTGCAGTGACCGAGGCATAGAGAAGTAGTTGGGCAAAAATCACAAATACAGAGACATATATTGTAAAACTTTTGAAGGGGGATAAGGTGACAATAAAGATGGATCTGATTATTTGTGTGGAAAGCTTCTGCAGCTCATTAGGTGAAGACTCTTACTGTGAAGCCTGACCATCTGAGTTTATGCCCCAGGACCCACAATGGTGGAGAGAAAGGTTGACTCCCATACATGTGCTATGGCATGTCCACGCCCACAAAATAAATTTACTTTAAAAAAAAAAAAAATCATTCCAGATGAGTTTTGGAGACTGAGTGTGGCCAGTGAAGCTAGAAGCAGGCTGTTTTAGAGTGTTGGCATCTAGCTTTGTAGCCACAGCCTTAGCGTTTACTGGTTAGATCAGGGTGCCCTCAAACGTGTGACCATTATCCTGTTTCTGTAGTATTGGGATTGTAGACATGTATCGCCACATCTTACAAAGATCCTCCTCGCTTTTATTTTTCTTTCTTAATAGAGGTTTACTGTGTTACATTTTATTTAAGATGGTTAATTTAAAAGCAGGAAAAGGGGGTTGAGGGTGGCTCAACCCTTCAGAGTACGTGTCATTCTTAACACAGAGGAGCCCACCTGGCAGCTTATAATTATCTGTAACTCCAGGTCCAGGAAATCCTGTACCCTTCTCTGGCTTTCTTAGACACTAAGCATGTACATGCTACATGTACATAGATGCAAGGCAAACACTAACACAGCAATAGCAAAATAGGGAAAAAATTATAAGCATTACCTTATTTTCTTTTCCCTGTTTTACCTCTCTGTCTCTATTGTTTTTCTTTTGTATCTAAGTCTTTTGAGAGATGTTGTTTGTAATTCTTCTGTCATGTTTTTCATCTCTTATTTGGGAAGGGGTTCAAATCAGTATCTTGACACGTGGCTATCACTAGCATTAAATGTATGGCAGTCCTTTCTCAATTTTCTGAGTATGGGATTGCAGGAATGTAATATTGCCTGGCCTGTCTGTCTCTTCTGGTATACACACCTTGGGATAGACAAGATTCTCATTTGTCTTTGAGAATATCATGTCTTGTCATGGCCAGGTAGAGGTAGCTCAAGCCTTTAATCCCAGCACTTGGGAGGCAGAGGCAGGTGAATGTCCATGAGTTCAAGGCCATTGTGGTCTACAGCCAGGGCTACACAGAAAAACCCTGACTTGGGGGAAAAAAAAAGTTTGTCATGATGGTCTTTTTATTTCTGCTTTGACATAGAAATGTTTCATAGGAAATAGCACTGACCTTTAAATTTTACATATATAGGTGTTTGCCTGTGTGTTTGTCTGTACACCATGTGTGTGTGCCTGTGTCTGAGGAAGCCAAGGGAAACTCTTATCCTCTAGAATTAGAGTTATAGATTGTTTTGGGAATTTATTTTAACTACTTGATTCCTTCATAAATATATCTCTATTTACTTGTTTTCCTAGTAATAAACTTATTCTTAATTTTTATTTACAAACATTGATGTTCTTAATCATTCAAATAGGTATCTTCCTATGCAAATGCAAATATTTGAATATATCACCAGGCTGAGATAACAAATGCAAAGTGATTAGAACAATTACCGTACTGTAGCCATGCTTTTCCTATTCTAATCCTTCCTATTTTTTTTAACTATTGCCAGCTTTCTCCTTTTGAAAAGTTATTGATATGCACAGTTGCACACTGAGAAGCCAAGCTATAGCTCCCAGAGTATAAATATCAGACCTGGTCACTTAGCACTGTGCTTCCAACCAGCTGAACCGATCATGGCTCTGAAATCCAGAAGACAAAAACAGAGAGGAGAGTGCCTTCTTCAGTACAGTGACCTCAACGTTCAAGGGCTAATTAAGATCCTGCTGTCGTTTGCTGGACCTACAGGAGAGCAGCAAATTTGTGAACTAATTTTAGCCCACTCAGAAACTGCATTTGAGAGGGAGTGTTTTTCTTCTGGAAAGTTGTTTTTGAAATTCTTTAAATTATAAGTGTGTGTGCATGTCAATACATGTGCCTTGAGTGTCAGATCTCTTGGAGCTAGAGTTACAAGTTACAAGCCACTCAACACTTGTGGTAGGATACAAATTTGGGTCCACAATAAGAGTGGAATGTGCTCATATTTTTTTGTTGTTGGTTTTTCAAGATGGGATTTCTCTGTGTATTCCAGACTGTCCTGGAACTTGCCCCATGGACTAGGCTAGCCAGGTACTCAGACCCACCTGCCTCTGCTCGAGTGCCATGATGAAGGGTGCCCACCACCACACCCATCAGTAGTGTGTGCCCTTAACTACAGAGTCATCTTTTCAGCCTGCTTTCTTTAAAGACCATTCTTTACACCAAGAGCAGATGTTTGTTTATTTTCCTTTTAAGTCATTTCAAGTTTTGTTTTATTCACCAGTTGTGTTCCTTTCTATTTGGAATTTGTTTTATATCGTTTTGTGTGTGGGCACAGGTATCACTGGGCACATAAGACCTGAGTACAACTTTATGGAGTCAGTTCTCTTCTCCCAACTTAATGTAGGCTCTGAAGATTAAATTCAGATAAGTCAAGCTTTTGTGGCAGACACTTCATGGGCTAAGCTGCCTTTCCAGTCCTTGGAATTTGTTTCTGTATTTCAGAGACAAGATAAAGCCCACTCAGCAAATCTCCCACACCACCAGTTTTGTTTGTGTGTGTGTGTGTGTGTGTGTGTGTGTGTGTGTGTGTGTGTGTGTGTGAGAGAGAGAGAGAGAGAGAGAGAGAATGTTTTGTGTACATGGATGTATGTGTAGCGTGTGTGCCTGGTGCCCTAGAAGGTCTGAAGAGAAGATTGGATTCTCTGGAACTATAGTTATGCATAGCTGTGAGTAAATGTTAGAAATCAAACCTGGGTCCTCTGAAAGAGCATCACAGGCTCTTCATTACTAAGTCATCTTAACAGCACAGTGCACCACCATTTATTGTAACACAGACATGTCTGTATGTTTAATAGTCCAAACTGAGACCTTTGAGATCAACAGAACTTATAGTTACAATTTGGGACTTGTGAGATGATGCAGCAGGACAAAGTGCTTGCTGGGCAAGTCTGACAACTTGAGTTCAGTCCCTTGAACTCATAGTAAAAGGAGACAGAATTCACAAATTGTGCTGTGGTCTTAGTATATGTGTATACTTACATAGACACACACAGTACAACTAATGAATCTTTGAGATTAAAAAAATGAGTATGGGTGTTTGGCCTGTGTGTATGTTTGTGTATCATATGCATGCTGTGCTCTTGGAGGCTGGAAGAGAGCGTTGATCACCTACAACTGGAGTTCCAGTCAGTTGTGAGCCACCATCTGGGTGCTGGAAATCAATCCTGGGTCATGTGGAAGAACAGCCAGCTCTCCAACCCCAAGTAAAAGAATTTTTAAAAATGTTTATGCTCTGGTTCTTTTCAGAATAAGTTTGTGAGCCTTTAATATAGATGTATAGATGCAAATATAGAATAAGAGGTAGGAGACGTGAAAGTTTTTTTGCTAGATAATCGGTCACTCTATAAGCAAGGTGTCTGCAGAATACTAATGCTTTCTCAATCTTATAGAATCAGTTCCCTCTTGACATTTAAGCTGAAATTCAGAGGACTTCCTTAGCCTCTCAGCCTAAACAGAGGCAGCTGCCTCAGCCAGTGTTACAGTTAAGAGTGGTGACACATGGCTGAATTTAGGTTGTGTTCTGGGATAGCCCTTAACAGACCTGCTGGCTGTTGAGGTACAGAGCAGGAAGGAAAGACATGTTCCTGAGAAAGTCAGTGCTAAAAACTTCATGATAGGTCTACATGAACCACGTTTGGAGTTAGGTTTCAGGTAATTTAAGTAAACCTGTTAGAGATTTAAAAAAAAAAAAAAAAGAAGAAGAAGAACCACAGTTAGTTAGCTACACCAGCCTGGATTTAGATAAGGAGCAAAGCTGAAGTGTTAATTTGGAAATGATTGGCCCTGCTTCCTGGCTGTCATGAAGAAAGTGGTCTCCACCACTTTCCTACCCCCATGTTTTATCCTTTTGGAAGCCCACAGCAACGGCGAGCAATGTACTGGAATCTCCGAGATCCAGTCCTCAAAATAAGTGATACAACAGAAACAAGGGAGATTAAAAATCTGTGATGCACGCCTTTAATTCCAGCACTTGGGAGGCAGAGGCAGGTGGATCTCTGTGAGGTCACGGCCATCCTGGTCTGCAGAGTGAGTTCCAGGACATCCAAGGCTATGCAGAGAAACCCTGTCTCCAAAAAAGAAAAAAAAAAAAAAAAATTACTAAAAAAAAACCTCAGCGCTAATTCTTATGGAACATTTCTGTGGGAAAATATAAATAAGGACCGTTGTGACAGACCTTAAGATATTATTTAAAAAGAAAACGAGAAACCCATCAACTCCAGAGCACAGGTTTTTCCATCTGCTTATATCAGAAGAGATAGGCCACGGTGCAGTGGCGTGTCGGGCATTCACGCAGTTCAGTGCTTGGAAGGCTGAGGCAGGAGGACTCTTATAAGATACCAGTCACTCCATCACACATCCTTGTTTTATGTTCTAGACAGTAGTGACTAGTGCCAGCCACCACTTAATCTTTTCTATGTTGGTGCCTACATGCTTGTAAGTAGACTTGATGAAGTCAAGGGCCCTTTTCTGTAGCAGGAGAGTTGGGCACATGCTAGGGACTTGGAGTTTTGATGGGGTTCACTTGAGAGAGATATTCTTGATAGCGAGCTATTTTTTGCTACTGTCTTTTCAACTTTAATATTTCAGAATATAGAGACAGCTCATTCTGAGATTTCTTTGATAAGCCACTCAAGATGAATTCAAGGAAATTTAATGTTTAAAACAAACACAAGAAAAGTAAAGCAGGTTAAAAATAACCTCATGTCAGGTCTTATAATAGAATCCACACTTGCCTAGAGCATTTACAGCTTTCTCACTTGCTGTTGTAAGCTTCTCTGTTATAGAATTTTTACTGTTTTGTGTAATAAAGGAAAGATTATGTAATCATTTTAGAGACTACTTGTTAGACCTTAGGCTTAGGAATTGAGGTTGTAAGTTTGAGATGTTTGTACCAAAAGCTAGGGAAGACATATGAAAGAAGATGCTATATATAAAACCGAAGGAGTCTTTTTTTTTTTTTTTTTTTTGGTACTGTACTTGTAGGCAGCATAGTGGGTGATTCGTGGTATTAACATCCTAAATTCATTTCAGATGCCTTTTATAAGTGTTTCCTTTATAAGTGAGTTTTATTAATGACCTGATTTTACTACTTGAGGAAATTAACATTCAGTGAAATAAAATAACTTGTTCAAGATTGCATGTCTCATAAGTAGAAATAGGCAGAACTTGGATATAGATGTTTAGAAGGTTGGCTCTTAAGCCCTCCCAGAGGTTTTGATCAAGTGCTGTTCAAAGGTTACTTTCTCAGAGAATTCTTTTCTGAGAACTGACCCGCCTTTGCGGCACATAGTTTGTAGTTTTGGAACTTAGAATGCTCATCTGTTAGATTCAAGTGTCTTGAATGGTAACAATTTATAGAATGAGCTCCTTGGTTGCAGAAGTTGGTCATGATGCCCTTTTTTGTGTTCTAGTGAAAGGCAAAGAGCAAGAGAAGACCTCAGATGTCAAGTCCATCAAAGGTGAGTGAGTTCTCTTTTGTGTTCACAACGATGGGCTTTGGGGTTATGAGTATTCTGATTTTTATCTTGTGACAGTACCATTCTTCTTCATTATCACCATTATTATTTATAATTATGATATTTCTCTCTTTAACATGTATATTCTAGCAGGCTTTTACTGGCATTTGCTGGCTGCTGTAAAGTGAACCAGTTCCTTGTTAATCATACATTTGTTCCCTAACAATCATTAGTTGGCTTTGTTCAGTAAAACAAACACTGAACTATGACAGCTAGAGAAACTCCCATTTATAAGGCTGATTTTATATCTGTTCAGAAATGTGGATGAGTACAGTTTTCACTGTATTAGTGTCAATGGCCTTCATTTAAGCTTATTCACTGTACTCTGGCTAATACCATGTTCTTATTTATGGGATTAAGTATGCCTGCCTACCTTTCTTCTTCCTTCTTTCCTTCCTTCCTTCCTTCCTTCCTTCCTTCCTTCCTTCCTTCCTCTCTTTCTCTCTTTCCTTTTTCTTTCTTAATTATCATCTCTGCTGAGTTTTTTATTCATTGTCTAGTGTACTGAGGTGGGAATGAAAAAATTTACAATAGAAAATTATTTCCATAGCCAGTACATACAAATTTCATTTTATTATATAGTTAAAATATACAGACTGCTGCTTAGAGTTTTCTAGTATTTTATGATGAGTGGCCAGCATTGTTTATCATCTGCTCAATTTGCCACAGAGTTTAACTATAATATTTACAAGGTTGGCAAGATTAGAGAAAAAAATGCCCCTACAGCCTGATTATACACTTATTTCTGATCATTTAAAGTGAGTTGTATTCTGTATGAGTTTAAACTATTTTCTTTAAGCCGGAAGTGATTGGCTTTTGGTAAAGGCGAAAGGTCCTAAGCAGAGGTTTTTGAGGCAGGTCTGACTGGTAGAAGGAAGGGACTAGCACTTCAGGCCATCAGAACTGCAGTCTTCACCCAAAACTGACACTAATAGTCTGACTTTAGGAAGTCATGGAACTTTCTACAGATTTCATTTGACAGAGGAGCTTGGCATGATTTTGTTTCCAGTGGGTTTCTAATTCTTTAAAGTTGAGCTTTAAAAACTTCATGCTAGGTAGGTAAGGTAAAATATGCCTTTAAACACATCAATCAGGAAACAGGCAGGCAGATCTTTGTGAGTTTGAGGCCAGTCTGGTCTACATAGCAAGTTCCAGAACAGCAAGACCCTCTCTCAGAAAAAAACAAGTAAATAAATTATATCCCCCACAAATAATATACAAAAAATAATTTTCATGATCACATAATCTCTACTTAGCAGTTATGGACTTGGCTTTAGGATAATAACAAACATTAAAAGAAACAGCTCTTCTAGAAGTTTGCACTCTGAGGGCCCTTGAGAGGCTCAGTGGGTAAAACTGCTGGTGGCAGGAGAGAACTGATTCTGGAAGTTACCCTCTTATTTCCACAAATACCCCCTGCCACATGTGCACTCAAACGTGTCTGCATGCATGCATGTGCACACACGTGCATACATGTAGACATACATAGATATAAAAGTAAAGCTGCAGTGTAATTAGCAGGACCTACTTAGATGTACAGTAGCAAATAGAACAAATAGTAATGGCCTCCATTTATAAAGCACTTTTATTCTTTTTTGTTTTGGTTTTTCAAGATAGGGTTTCTCTGTATGACAGCCCTAGGTGTCCTGGAACTTGCTTTGTAGACCAGGCTGGCCTTGAACTCACAGAGATACATTTGCCGCTGCCTCCTGAATGCTGCAATTAAAGGCATACAGCATCACACCCAGCTAGCACTTTTATTCTTGACATTTAAAAAAGTTGTAACAGAGACCATGAAGCACTAGGATATTGCCTTTATTGAGTTTATAGATTGGTAGGGGAAAGGAAAATTTGCCAAGTAATTTTACAAGTTGTTTGAACTAGTGATGGTAATAGAGAGATCAGGACCAAATTGATAGTACAACAGGCAAAATGAATTGAAGTTTGTTATTGATTAGATCTGAGCTGTGAGAGATACGGATGTAAGGTTTATGACTTGCTACCTTTCTGGCTTGCCTCACAGAATGAAGCTAGGGAATTATATGTTCAGTTGTATATTGCGTGGGAAATGCTTTTGAGTCATTCATTTTTATATGTTTCACACACAGTAATTCTAGGGTCTCAGGTTTTAACCAAAGATGAGACTCTACATGACTTAGGTTGGAATTCTGCCTGTATTGAAATGGCCCTTCCCAAGTTCATAGACCTAGGACAAAATATTTAACTTTTCTATATGTCTGCTTTTACTTCTAAAATGAAGGAAATACCAATTATGAAGAATTGTCTAAAGAGACAAAAACAAGTAAAAACAATAGAGTGCCTGGTCTGTCACAGGTGTTCCTGTGGAGGTGATTACTGCCAAGTGTTAACATAGTGAGCTGAAGTGAAGGACTGCAAGGAGCCCAGAAAATTGGAGGTCAGCAAACGTTATGGAAGACTTCATGGAAATGATATGGCCTGAATAAACACTGAACAATAAGAGGATTTGGATGAAAGAGAAGGTTGTTTTGTTCCTGCCAGCCTTTGCATTTTTTGAAAATCAGTCTAATGATCGATCGATTGATTGATATATTCAAAAATAAGTAAAAGGAAATTTTTATAGAAATAATGAAATGAGGTTATACAGAGCCATAAAGATGAGAAAAGAGGCCTTAGTCACTGAATTGCTGCCAAGGACTCAGCCGCCTCTCCCTCCAGCCCCTTGATTCCTGATACTCTAGTGCTCCCTATCTGTCCATCCCTGCCCCCTGCCCCCTGCCCCTTCTCCTGCAGCTATCTTCTACAGGCCATTTCCACCAAGGAGAAGGAATTGTATCAAATGCTTGCTCTCTACAACTTCCAAATAAAGGTGATGACCTATTTTCTTCTGACACTGAGAGTTATATCCATGTAAGAGTTCAACTGGCAGGAAGACCCTTACGACTACTATCCAAGGGATTGCTGATGATATGATAAAAAGAAACTAGGAAGAAATTTGCCTTTGTTACCATTGTATTATAATTGAGCATCCAGAATGTGGGGAAGTAATTCAGCCATAGAACATGCACTAGTTCCTGGTAGAGACTGGACTGGCTAATGATGATTTCCTAAAGGTTCATGGGTTTTAAGTGCTTGTGACTCCCTGAAATTTATGTGAGGACTTCCTTTGCAATGAGTAGTATTTCCCTCACATCTTGTATAATGTATCCATTTAAGATCCACTTACCCTAGTGTAACTCCATGCAATAAACGAAAAAGAGCCATTATCCCCCCCCCCCCACTAGAGCCAGAAAAGAACGTTGAGATAAAATAGGGTGCCACTGAGCCAGGTGTTGGTGGCCTATGCCTTTAATCCTAACACTCAGGAGGCAGAGGCAGGTGGATCTCTGTGAGTTTGAGGCCAGCCTGGTCTACAGAGCTGGTTCCAGGACAGGCGCCAAAGCAATACAGAGAAACCCTGTATACTAATGCTATGTGGTTTTTGACAGGGTAGTCTGGAAGAAATCTAAGAATGAGACCCAGAAATTCTTTTGTACTGTAGAAAAAGAGTTTAGTCTTGAAAATAAGTAAGAAAGTAAACTTTGTCCAAGGAAGAAAAAAAATCAGACATTGATAGTGAAATAGAATGAGACTGTGCTTTTGAGCTTAACTGACTGGTGGATCTGAACAGAGAAATCAGACAGGTGAATTGGTTTAATTAAAGAGGGTGACGGGTTTTATATTTGGACAAGTATGGCCTGCTGTGGCAAAGCCAGAGTGGGATTACCCAGCAGTTAATAAGAGATGTAAGAATAGAGCTCAGATCAAAGGAAAGCTAAGAGAGCAGGCCAGGGTTCTCCAGCTGCTGCGCTGAGGTTTCCTTCTGAGTTGTTGCTAAGGGAACAGTAGAGGCAAGTTAGTTACTCTGCTTTTATTTATTGATTTTGTAAACATAACTAGGTCTGGTTTTTATTAAGTTTATTTAAAGCTTATAACTTAAGGTTGAAAACTTTTGCTTTAATGATAACTGAAGGTTTGAAAATAAATATACTTTGGTACTGGAGAGATGGCTCAGAGGTTAAGAGCACTGGCTGCTCTTCCAGAGGTCCTGAGTTCAATTCCCAGCAACCACTTGGTCGTTCACAACCATCTATAATGAGTCCTGGTACCCTCTTCTGGAGTGTAGGCATGCATGCAGGCAGAACACTGTATACATAATAAACAAATAAAACCTTTAAAAAATGAAAATAAATGTACTTTCTGGAAGAAAGCAATGTAGAATATCCTTAGGAAGATGAGTCAGGGAAGGGGCCATTTCTGACAGTGGACGTTTGAGAGAGGAATTTTAGAACGAGAAGAATGAACAGAAAGAGCCTATTGGGAAGGAACAGAGGTAGATAAGAGGCATGAGTTCTAACAGAGTAGTGAAGAGGGGGAGAAAAGCCTTGTGTTTTCCCTGCATGGGTACATGTGTGCCATGTATAGAAAGGCTAGAAGAGGGCATGGAACTAGAGTTACAGATGGTTGTGAGCCACATTGTGGGTTCTGGGAACAGAACCCTGACCCTCTTTAAAGACAATGAATGCTACTGATTTACCACTTCCCTCTCCAGCCCCTGGAGAAAATGTATTCATAGCATTTCTTTTTATTCTATATCTATATCCTATATCCTATATCTAATTAAGATATAATTAGGAGACATTTGTATAGAATTTTCTGTGTAGCTATTGTCTGTATAAGAAAACTAGCCAGTCATGGTGAGATGGCTCAGTGGGTAAAAGTGCTTGGCATGCAAGCCTGGAGACACAGGGTTTGATCTCCTGTAACCCACATAAAGGTGAAGGAGAGACCAATTCTACAAAGTTGTCCTCTGAATTTCACCTGTGTACTGTACGCATACACACATCATGTACACATGCTTGTAAATAAATATAGTCTTTTAAATATAAAACCGATGTGATTTATAGTGCACACCTGTAACCTCTACACTCTAGAGGCTGAATTGGGAGGATTGTGAATTTGAGGATAGCGTGGCTAGCATAGTCAGACCATGTCTCAAAAATAACAAACAAGAAGTCAAACTAACTATTGTGTATAAACTTGCTAAAATGTTTTTACTTCCTTCAATTTAACATGAAAATAAATATTAAACAGTCTTCTTCTAAAGTTAAACAGATAGTTTGAAGGCAGTTATTCTCCATTCCATAATTCCTGAACTTTTGAATGGCTGATAAGCTTACATATTTGATAAACACCTGTGTATGTTCCTTTTTTATCTGTAGGTATCTCAGAGAGTCATCAGTTGGGTTATAGTATGCTGTGTCCATCTTAAAAAAATATTTCTGAGTATTGCTCAGGTCCTGCACCAGGACCTTTACTATTTGCTGAGATTGTGAGTACTTTACCAGGGTTACCAGGAGATGCATCTTACTTGAGAGATTCTTGAGGCATGGCTTGCAAAGTGACCTGTATCATTTCTCTTTCATGTTGTAGCAAGGTACTACACCAAATTCTTTTGGCTTTTCAAGACAGAGTTTCTCTGTAGCCCTGGCTGTCCTGGAACTCAGTGTGTAGACCAGGCTTGCTGTGGACTCAGAGATCTGCCTGCCTCTGTCTCCTGTGTGCTGGGATTAAAGGTGTGTGCCACCATGCCTGGCTTTCCAAAATGTATTTAAAGTGTTCTCTAAGATTCATTACTTCTGTGTAAAATAGATAGGACAAAGAGAGTTTTAAGTCAACTTCAGCAACAAGTCAGTGTCGCTCTGACAGGGCTGTACTACATTGGTAACTAATGTCTTACTTTTGTTCTTTAGAGGTGTGAGCTCAGCTTGCACTCAATCCATGATTTAGACTGCTGAAGTCAAAAGGATGTTACTATTTCTTCAGACTACTAAAGAAATAGATTTTCTGAACAAAATAATTTGTGGTATTAACCTAGGGCCCATTTGACAAATGCTAAACAAAGAACTCTACCACCAAACTGCATCTCCACTGACTTTGTAAATTTTGTCTGTTGTTGTTTTATTATTATTGTTGTTGTTGTTATTTTGTTGATGGTGTTTGAGGCAAGGTCTTAATACATAACCTTGGCTTGCCTGAAACTCCCTGTTTACCAGGCTGGCCTTGAACTCGAGCAGTTTCTCCCTATCTGTGCCCTGCTGTGTGCTGGGATTAAAGGCTTGGGACATTATACCCTGCCTATGAGTGTTTATTTTTAAGTAGCTTGAACCTTAGTAACCAGTGTCTTTTATTAGATGGAGAAACTATTAGATGGAGAAATTAGATGAAAAAAGTGGAGTATTGTGATGAACATTTTTCTAATTTTTTTCTCCCAAGATTTCATTATAAATTCAGTTTTGTTTGTGAAGCAAGCAAAGATTAAGACATTGAAAAGGTACACATTTCTAAATTTTTGTACTTTTCTCTTTTGGGAGACATTTTGCCACATTGCCAAGACTTGACCTGCAACCTGACTTGACTTCCTGGCTGCCTGCTGGGCTTTTAGTCCTATATCACTGCACTCAGCTTGGCTTCGCCCTTTTAGTCAAAGTTTTCAGAGAAGGTCTCTGTAAGCTAAGAGTTTTGGTATAGTATTTTGAGAATTATAAATAATAGAGTGTTTTCTTTCCACTTTGTTTGCTGCTTGATAGAATTATCTTTTTTGTTTTGTTTTGTTTGAGACAGGATTTCTCTGTGTTGTCCTAGCTGTCCTGGACCTAGCTCTATAGACTAGGCTGGCCTTGAACTCAAAGAGATCTGCCTGCCTCTGGCTCTCAATGCTGGGATTTAAAGGTGTGCTAGAGACAGGCTATATAGCCCTGGCTGTCCTGGAGCTCTCTCTGTAGACCAGGCTGGCCTTGAACCTGCCTTGGATTCCTATTTGCTGGAATTAAAGATGTATACTAACATGCCTTACTTATTTATTTAAATTTTATTTATTTAATGAGTGGGTATTTAGTTTGCATGTGTATCGTGTGTATCTGTGCATCATGTGTGTGTCACAGAGGCCAGAAGAGGGCACCAGATCCCCTGGAACTGGAGTTGCAGGTGTTTGTGAACCTCCATGTGGGTGCTGGAGATTCTGGAAAGTAACCAGTGCTACTTTCTTAGCTACTGAACCGTATCTTCAGCCCCTTAACTTTTTTTTTTTTTTTTTTTTTGAGTGTCGCTTAAGTATTAGAAAGTTTAGTTTAGTTTTGTTGTGTTTTCAACTTTCTTAAAGCCTGCTCACGGGTTCAGATCATCAAATTGTATTTAACTTTAAACTTTCCCCTCCCCCCCCAAATCTATAGCTTCAGTCGCTGTACATTCCCCACAGAAAAGCACTAAAAATCATGCCTTGCTGGAGGCTGCAGGACCAAGTCATGTTGCAATCAATGCCATTTCTGCCAACATGGACTCCTTTTCAAGTAGCAGAACAGCAACGCTTAAGAAGCAGCCAAGCCACATGGAGGCTGCTCATTTTGGGGACCTAGGTAAGTGACTTCTTACTAATGCCCAATCAGAGACAAACTTTAATAAAATGGGAGATTCCAGTCAAAGGATATTGAACTTCATGATTGGAAGACACTTTGAAAAAAAAAAAACATTAAAATAACCGCAAGTGTAACGAGGTAGTGCTGTATTGTGTTCGTGTAAATATTAGGCATTTCCAACAGAAAATAAAGAGATACATTTGACTACTTAACAAGAATGCACAAAAAGATTACTTATTTCAGTAGTACTCAAAGACACAGATCAAAATAATGAGTTGAAATATTAAAATATATTCAGTTTACTAATCTGAATGTTAAGTGGAATTGAAGGAAATGGTCACTCCTAGTTAGTAATGGTGTAAATGAGTAAAAAAAGGCTTTTTTGGAAAGTAGTTAGTTTGGAAGTGTTGTCTGATTCCACTGTTAGAAAAGCTGATTATTACCAAACGACTGATTCATTTGCTTCCGTCATTTAGGCAGATCCTGTCTGGACTATCAAACTCAAGAGACCAAATCCAGTCTTTCAAAGACCCTTGAACAAGTCTTGGGTGACACTGTTGTCCTCCCTTATTTCCTTCAGTTTATGGAACTTCGGAGAATGGAGCACTTGGTGAAATTTTGGTTAGAGGCTGAAAGTTTTCACTCTACAACTTGGTCTCGAATCAGAGCACACAGTCTGAACACAGTGAAACAGAGTTCACTGGCTGAGCCTGTCTCTCCATCTAAAAAGCAGGAAACTACAGTGTCTTTTGTAACTGAGTCTCTTGACAGGAGGTTGGAGGATTCTAGCTCAGCCCCACTGCTTATGACTCAACCAGAAGGAATCGACCTGAGTAGTAGAACTCAGAACACCCAGAATCACTTGCTGCTTTCCCAAGAATGTCACAGTGCCCATTCTCTCCATCTTGAACCGGCCAGAACAGGAACTCATCCAATCTCCACTGACGCCCGAGAATCCTCTTCCAGACTTACAGTAGCCAGTAGTAATATTCCCTCTTCTCCACTGAGAGACCTATCAGGAAAACTAATGAAAAGTAAGTATGTGATGTCTGTGACAGTGCAAGACTACAGCAAGGAATGAAAGGGTCAGAGGGTGTCTTTTTACCTCTAGTTTACCAATATAGGAGGATTTGGAGTGTTGAGTGGAGTCGGTGTGAAAAAGGATCAGGAAGTAAATCTTGAGTGACTGTATTGCTATGCTAGCAGAATAGATAGCATCAGGGAATGTTCTGCTTTTTTTCACATTTGAAAGGAAAGCCATTGTCCAAGTAGATGATCTCCTCCTGGTCTCAGTCCTCATTTATTACTGCCTAGCTACACTGTATAGGTTACCTTTTCTCATTTATCTTTTAGATTGCTGGTAGGTATCATTTATTAAATTCTGTATTAAGTGTGTATTTGGATTTCATTTGTCATGAAAGCTCTGTTAAGTAGGTATTCGTATCCCATTCACCCTTGAGAATATTATGATTTAGAAAGTTCCTTCCCTGGATTGTCTAGTAAGTGAGGAGTTAGAATTAAACCCAGGCATTTTCTTAGTACTGCTAGCTATAGAAGATTAAGATAAGGGAATATCTGATTCTGCTCTTGGCTTGTAACATCAGCTCTGGGTGGGTATGGAGGTATAGATGTCCCATTAGAGTTTACCACTCAAAAATCACTTATTCTCAGCACAGTGGCCAGTTGTGAGTCTGCATTAACTACTACCCAGTGAAAAAGAAGCTTCTCTGATTGAGGTTGAGAGTAGCACAAATTTATGGATAAAATATTTGACAATGTGTCTATTTAGTTTAGTTGCTTCTTTGTTTCTTTTGATGTCAATTTCACATGCATCAGTCTTGCTTACATGTATGTCTGATACTATTTGTATGCCTGGTACCCATAGAGGCCAGAAAAGGGCATCAGAGCCCTTTCAACTGGAGTTAAAGATAGTTGTGAGCCATGATGTAGGTGCTGAGAACCAAACTGAACTAAAGTTTTCTGCAAGAATAGACAGTGTTCTTAACTGTTGAGCCATCTTTCTAGCCCCCAACATGTCTCTTTAACAGAACAGCAGTAGTAGACTCCCAACTAGGGCCTATGATTCCCCTCATCTATGGGCCGTTAGCCAGATTTGTGGAGCTGGGCACGAGTTCCCTCCTGTGGAGTGTGTGTCAGATCTTGTCAGTTGGTCACTATTGACCAGTGGACACATTTTTCCTGTTAGGACTGTATTATAGCATGCAGGACCCACCTTTGATGACTTTTCTTTTTGGCAGCCTGCCTAATACCTTCTGGCATTGTAAAATCTAGTCTTCAGAGAGGTTTCTAGATTGATTCTATCTTGATTTCTATATATTCTACAACCAAAATGAGGAATACGTTTAGTGATAGAGTACTACCAGGTAGCTCTGGTAGGCAGTCAAGAACAGTGGCAATAGCCTGTATTGTTTTGGGGGCCTCTGGGGTCTCCCTAACCAATAACTTATAGAGAGGTATCTCATGGCTGAATCATTTAACAATCTGTTGCTTTTGTGAACAGCATTGTCCACCTATTCTGATATGTACAAACTCCTTTATATTTTAAAATTAGCTTTTAAAAGTAGTAAGGTCTTTGATTCCCTCTCTCCACATCCTCCAGTGTACAATGTCTTTGGAGTAACTTGTTTAGGATAGACTAATGTTTTCTATTTCCTTCTCCCTTAGTGACTGTCAAAGATTAAACACAGAACTTCAGGTTGAGCTATATTCCTTACTTCATTTGAGAAGATAACAAATTTGGCTTCAAGATCTTAGTTTATGTAATCAAGGGGAGAAAAAAAGTAATTATTTTTTTACCTGACTTTGATAAACATACTTAATTTTCCAAGTGTGTATGTGTCTTCATAGCTGCCTCCCTGGCTTCCTAGCTGTCTCTTCTGATTATGGTTATGCCCCATCTATTATGGTTCTTATGGTTGGGCTCCACTTCCACTGACCAGTTACTTCTTTGTGTTAAGCTTTCTTTATCATCCAGCATCCTCAGCTAGGGCGAACTTACCTTTCCGACCTCAAGGTTTTCCTATCTGTGTATATATAATCTGTATACCACAAGTGTGAGTTACATACAGTGTGAGCCACTGTATGGGTGATGGAATTGAACCAAATCCTCAGGAAGAGTAGTCAGCATTCCTAAGTAAGTCATCCTTTAAGCATGATCTCAGGTTTTTTTAGTTTTATTTTCATAAAAGCATTGTTAATAATTTAAATTAATAGAAAAATGGTTATTTCATGTTATTAAATTCATTCTTTCAGTAATTATAAGTTTATTATTGAGTATTTACTACATATCTCATTTCTAAGATGTAGTGATGAATGGAATAGTCACAAGCTTACCACTCAGTGAAATTTTTATTCAACTTATGAACTATCTGAAGAATTTTCTGTTACTTAAGGTTTCATCTTTTATATTTGAATTAATTTTAAATTACTTCATATGCCCTGAATTTCAAGACTTTGCTCTTAAAATTTAATGATCTGAAATTTTATAATTTATTTAAAAGCATTTTAAAGCTTATATATTTTACTTTATATGTATGAATATTTTGCCTACATAAATATATGTGCACCATATGATGCTTATTGGATCCCCTAGATGGGAGGCTATAGATGGTTGTGAACCACCATGTGGTACTGATAATTGAACCCACGTCCTCAACAAAAGGGACAAAGACATTTAACCTCTCAGCTATCTCTCCAGTCCCTGAAATCTATCATTTTCAGAAGAGGAAAAGAAAAAACAAAAGAAAGCAAAAACATACAACACCATAAATAACAACAACAACAAAATCCTTGGTTGTAAGAAATAATAAAGTTCTAGATATATTTATTTGTATGAACTCATGGAGTCACTATTGAGATGTATTTTTTGAGTTGAAAGACAAGGTCTAAGGATTCAGATATTCTAATTTACTTTATTATTTTGTGTGTCTGGGTATTTTGTCTGCAAGTATGCTTATGCACCACTATGTGCAATTGCCTTCAGGCCAGAAGGCATAGTACTTCCTGCATCTGTAGTCACAACCAATTGTGAGTCTCCATGTAGGTTCTTGGAATCAAAACTGGGTCCTTGGGAAAAGTAACCAGTGCTTTTAATTGAGGAGTCATCTCTCCAGCCCCTTAAATATTTTAAAAAGTAATTATTGAAACGCTAAATTGAGTAACTTAGTGCTTAAACATCCCCCTGATGCCTGGAGGCAAGTTCCCTTTTTCCAGTTTCTGGCATATCACAGACCTAAAAGGTACATTTATTAAAAACAAAATAGGATACTTTAAGGACATTTTCTGTTCCTTTTTTGTTTTTAAATCACAGTGCATTGTCTCTCTCTCTCTCTCTCTCTCTCTCTCTCTCTCTCTCTCTGTGTGTGTGTGTGTGTGTGTGTGTGTGTGTTTGTATGTTTGTATGTGTGTGTGTGTAAATGAAGGTGCCCGCATACTTGTAGAAGTCAGAGGACAACTACTATATGGGTCCCTGCTGAGCCATCTTTCAGGCCCCCTTTATTTTAGTTAGTTGTGTTGTTTTTTCTTCTCTTCTTTTGAGACAGGGTCTTTTTCTGTGTAGTCCTAGCCTGTACCCTTGTATTCCTTTTATTATAGAATATTAAACTAGTACAACCTAAGTTGTTGTGCATTATATTGTTTCGTTTGATTGGCATTTTGTTGATAGTATCTACATTGCCCAGACTGGCCCCAAATTCCCTTGGTGTGATCTTAGAGTGATCATCCTGTTTCACACTCTGAAGTAGCTGGGACTACAGATGTATATAGTTTGCCTGGCATTTTCATTGATTTCTTCTTCAATCCCAGAGACAAAGTCTCACTGTGTAGCTTTGGTTGTTGTAGAACTTACTTTTTACTATGTACACCATACTGGCCTGGAACTCAAGAGATCTGCCTGCCTTTGCCTTCCAAGTGCTGGAATTAAGTTGTGTGCTACTGTGTCTGACTTCATTGATTTTTAAAAACCAAAAATATTTTTATTACTTGTTTGAGAATTTTGTGTTTTAGTTATATTCAGCACCCTAAAGTCCCTTCTCTACTCACCCTAGTTTGTATCACTTTTTAAATTTTTATCTTATTTTTTAATTTAAATCTGTCAAGACATGTGCTGCTCAGATAGTCTTAGGTGTGTTGGCTTCCACTGCAATGTGGATGACGTAGCAATGACTAGCTATGCTCTTAGAGAAAACTGACCATCTCTATCTCAGCAAGTACCAGTTACCAATAGCTCCTCACCTAGGAGTGGGATGGGACTTTGTGCACTCCCCCCTCCCCCCCTTTGGAGTCAAGGTCTCACTATATTGCTTTGGCTATCTTACTCACTATGTAGACTAGGCTGGCCTCAAAATCATAGAGATCCACCTGCCTCTGCTGAGTGCTGGGATTAAAGGCATGTGCTCCACCATACTTGGCTTTTCAATTCCCCTCTTTATGCTAGAATTTGAGCTGGCTTGGGCTTGTACAGGTCTTGTATATGCTATTATATTTGCTGTGAGTTCATGTGTGCAGTTGCCCTGCTGTGTTCAGAAAACACTGTTTCCTTATGGTCATCTATTGCCTCTGACTCTTAAACTATTCCTTCCCCCTCTTCCACAATGACACCTGTGTTTTGGGGTGGTGGAGTATGATATATATGTTCCATTAAGACTAAACATTCCACAAGCTCTTAGTTCTCTCTTCCTTGACAAGTTGTGAGTCCTTGAAGATTGAGTGGTGTGTCAATCTATGGATATATAAGTAAGTTATTGTCAGTTACTGTGTCCATTTAATAGGTTCATCTCTGGGGCTTATGACTTGTCTAGCTAAAGGTTCTTAGCTCAGTAATGGTGCCAGAAATGGGTTTTATATTATAGAGTGGATCTTAAATCCAATCTAAGAGTTGTTGGTTACACCTGTGATTGTCCTGCCACTAATGCACATGTGGGCCTGTCTTGCCAAGCCATCCATTATTGCAGCTCACTGGGTTTATAGCTGGATGAGATTGATGATTCCTTTTCTCCCTAGTAGTGAGCATAGTGCCTTGCATCAATGTAAAGGCTAGTTAGTGGGGATGAAGTTTCCAGGTTGATTACCAACTTGGTATCTATGTGTTCTATGACTTAAATATATGGTGTCTTCAACAATAGCATCTTTTTGCTGTTGTTGTTTTGTTTTTTTGAGACAGGGTTTCTCCATAAAGCTCTGGCTATCCTAGAACTCAACTGTGTAGACAAGGCTGGCCTTGAATTTAGAGATCTTCCTGCCTCTGCCTTTTGAGTGCTGGGATTAAAGGTGTGTGCTTCCTGCTGCTGTTGCGAGCAGTTGGCCGCCACCACCACCACCACGCAGCAGCAAATAGAGTTTTACTGTCAAGTTGTAGAGTAACTGAGAGCTTAACAAGGACAATAACTACTAATGTTTGATAGAGTGTGGGACCCAACATGCCAACAACTCTGAAAGAGATAGACAATTCCTGGCACTGACTTTTTGTTAGTCTCTAGTGTAGTCTATTAGGGCATTGTTACCTCATTATAGGATTACTCATTTAATTTTTTATGTATGTGTATATATTTTAAAGAAGCTTCTACCAGTAGTAATTCTCTATATGACTTTTCAAAAGGTCTTTAGTGAAACTTACCTGTAGGTGATTTTATTTGTTTGTTTTACTCTTTTGGGGCCCACCACCCAGCTTCCAAATAAAAATACCCTGAGATTTACTCTTACTTCTGAATAACTGGCCTTTGCTTGGCTTGTTTCTAGCCAGCTTTTCTAACTTTTTCATTTCCCTTAACAGTTTTTTGCTTCTGGGCTTTTTACCTTTCTTTGTTCTTTCTTTCCATCTTACTCTGTGGCTGGCCTCTGATATCCTCCTCTCCTTCCTTTCTTGCTCCTTCTCTCAAGCCTAGATTTCTCCTCCTATTTATTTTTTTGTCCCTGGCAGCCCTACCTGTCCCTCCCCTGCCTAACTGTGAACATTCAGCTCTTAATTAGAACAATCAGGTGTTTTAGGCAAGCAAAGTAACACAGCTTTACAGAGCTAAACAAATGCAGCATAATGGAATGCAACACATCTTTGCATCACTAAACAAATATTCCACAGCATACATAAATGTGATGTATCTTAAATACTCCATAGCATTTATCCCTCCCTATCCCCTCTTCTGTCCTAGCTTCCCTACCTCACCTCAATTTAATCCTTCCTGGTACCACTATTCCTTTTTAATCCGGTATAACAGTGTATTCTATCTCTTTTCCCTTAAAAACACCCCTCCCCGTGGCCCCTTATTAATTTTCTGACATGTGAGTATTTCAAATGAAACACACATCTGAATATTCAAAGCTCACAACCACAAATGAGAGAAAACATGGATGTGCTATTTGTCTTTCTGGGTCTGATTATCTTACTGAGAATGATTGCTTTCTTCCCCATCCATTTACCTGAAAATTTTCACTTTCCTTAATAGCTAAATAATATTCCCTTATGTCAGTGTACCAAATTTTCATTATCAGTTCAAGTTTAGGATGTTTCTTTTAGATCTACAGAACATTCCACCCAAATACGAAAGATTACATATTCTTCTAAACCCATGTAATTTTCTCCAAAATAGACCACATGGTAAGACACAAAACAAATTTCAACAGATAAAAGAAAATTGAAATTACATCCTACATTCTATCTGACCATTGTGGAATAAAGCTGGATATCAACAATAGAAATGATAGAAAGTACACATAATGAACAACATACCACTTAAAGTAGAGTAAAAAGAAAAAGTTAATTCCTAGAATTGAACTGCTTAAAATTCAAACACAGCATCTCAACATCTAGGAGGCATAATGCAGGCAGTGCTAAGAGGAAAGATTAAAAATATTTGAGAGACAGTTTATTAATTTAAGGGTACACAAGAAGGCCTTCAAAAAACAAAGCCATCAACACTCCAAACAAGCAAACAGGTAGAAATCAAAGTCAGGGCTGAGAGAGAAGGCTAAGGCTTACCACCAAGGTTAGAGCTGAAGTCAGTGAAGGAGATACAAAGAATCTGAAACAACTGGTTCTTTAAAGGATTGACATCCCTCTAGCTACAGAAGAGAAAGAATCCAAATTTATAAAATTAGAGATGAAAAGGGAGACATTACAACAGACACTGAGGAAATTCAGGGAAACCTAAAGACATACTTTAAAAATCTGTATTCCCCTGAACTGGAGAATTTAAAATCAATGGGTAACCTTCCAGAGACATTTGACTTACCAAAGTTCAATCAAGAAGAAACAAATGATATGCTTTCATCTGTTAACAAGTACAAGACAGTAATAAACTAATGAAGAGATATTCCATTTTGGCCTCAGTTTCATAGGGTTCTGTCCTTACTAATGTGGATTTATAAAGATTTTTGAATTTGTTGTATTATTGTGCAACTATTTCAAGCTGAGACTCCGGAGAAGAGACACAAAAAGAGGTCATTGTTAGTGAGGGGCTTAGTAGCTCATACTGACATTGGAAGAAATAACTGACACAAGGTTTTCCTGTTCTGTGAACCACACAGTAAGAGGGCAGCTTTACAGTGAAAGTTGACTTGTAATAGCTCCACCCAGCAAACAGCATCCTGCTGTTAGGAGCACAGTCCGTTTCAGTGGGTTTGAAGTTGTCCTTCTCTTCTCTTGCAGGTATAGAACAAGATGCAGTGAATACTTTTACCAAATACATATCTCCAGATGCTGCTAAACCAATACCAATTACAGAAGCCATGAGAAATGACATCATAGGTAAGTAGTACTTGAAGTCATGGGGGAAAGAACTGACTGGTTTGGTTATTGACTAGGTTTTATTATCTTTAACATTATTATTGGAGTTTGTTTGCTTGTTTATTTGTTTTCAGACATGGTCTCATTTCACTATATAGCTATGGCTGGCCTGGAACTCTCTGTGAAGAAAAGGCTGGCCTCATAGAGGTCCATCTGCTTCTGCCTCCTTAGTGTTGTATTTAAAGCAATATGCCACCACAGCCATCCAAAAGAAAGTATTTACTATTTTTGTGTGTATATATGTGTGCATGCATGAATTTATGTGTCTCACATGAGTGCAAGAACCCATAGAGACTAGTAGAGGGCATCAGGCCCCCTAGAACTGGAGTTATAGTCAGTGTGTGTGGCCATGACAGTGCTAGGTACTGAATCCAAGTCTTTTGCCAGAGCAGCAAATGTTCTTAACTGCTGAACCATCTCTTCGGCTCCCAGAGAGAGAAGGGGAAAGGGGGAGGGAGGGAGAGAGTGTGTATATGTGTGTGCATGTGTGTGTGTACATGGAATATAACAGTTCTCTTCCTAGTTTGTGGTTTTGTTTTTTGGGTTGGTTTGTTTGGTTTGGTTTTTCCAGACTGGGTTTCTCTGTGTAACCCTGGCTGTCCTGAAACTCACTCTGTAGACCAGGGTGTCCTTGAACTAACAGAGAATCACTTGCCTCTGCCTCTGCAGTACTGAGATTAAAGGTGTGCACCTCCACTGTCCAGCTCCTAGTCTATTTTCAAAGCATGTTTTTGAAATTTTTATGTTTATTTTATGTGCATGTGAGTATGCTTGAGTATGCAGCATGTGCATTCAGGAGCCACAGAGGTCAAAAGAGAGGCCTATGATCCCTTGGATCTGGGGTTATAGGTGGGTGCCAGCCTCCATGCGAGTACTGGGAACTGGGCCTAGGTCTTCTGCAAGACCATTAAGTACTCTTAATGTTGTGTCATCTCTCCACCCCCCCCCAAGGTACTTTTCTTTTATTATATTTTAATTCATGTCTCTCTTGCATATTGACCCAGATTCATGGACTTGAGACCAATAATAGCAAGCACAAGACAATAATTTTTTATTGACTACTCTGTATGACTCAAACAATATTCTGAATCTGATGGAACCAGGTGTGCACATAGTGCACATATGTCTGTGCAGGCAAAATACTCATATACATGAAAGAGAGAGAGAGAGAGAAGAGAGAGAGAGAGAAGAAAGGAAGAGAAAGAAAGGAAAGGTTCATCTGCAGTGATAGGAGTAAATGCACTCTGTGGGGGTGAAAATGCACATGACATAGAAGAGGGAATCTTCTCATTGCTCTGGCTTTTTCAGTGAAGTAGGAAGCAAAGCACTTAAGGGAGGGAGAAGCATGCTGTTGTAAGGATATAGGAAACATTTAGACTCCTGCTATGCTCTCACAGTTGTGAGACTGGTTTGTGACCAGATACAACCAGTTGTGCAAATGATTCTCTAGCAAGTGCTACTTAGATGTCTTCCTTGTCGACTTAGTTGTCATGGACTGCCTGGAAATAGCTCAGATTCTGCAGAGTGAAGGCTTGGTCCCACAATGCTTCCCCCTTCTAAGAAGGTTGTTTCTGCTTCTCATTCACTCTCCTTTGGTTTAACTAGTGTGCTAGATCAACTTGTAGAATTCTGGGAAATACATTTTCTGATTTGTAATAAAGGATATTCAGGCCCGTAGCCAATGGAAGGATATGTTCAGAGCAAATTAGAGAAGGGACTTGGAGCTTCCATGCTTTCTCCACATATGCACCATACACTGTTTAGTCATTAATGTGAAATTCCTCTTTCTCAGGCCTGTACTTAGGTTGTAATATAGGTTTCATTGTGTGGGCATAGCTGAATATGATTGTTGGCCATGAGTCATTACCCCCTGTCTTCAGTCCTTTTCATTGAAGATCCTAACCCTCTCACAGGCCATGGTCATAGGTCCCAGTTGTTCTGGTGACCAGGTGCCTTCCTGAAACTCCAGGGATTCCTAACTACTGGTTGAACATATGATAAAGACTGTCATAACACCAGAGACTCCAAGAAGTTTAAGAACTTATTGGTCAAAGACCACACACACATTCCAATATCACAGTTTAATGTTGTCTGGAGAGTGGTGACTAAAGGGATCAGGATATGACCTTTGAGTTTCCTGAAGCCTCTTTAAAGACAAGAACTGAGCAGAACTGGCTGTTACAGTTGCTTCAGGATTCTTCTAGTGATATTTAACAGCCAGCTAAATAGCTCATGAATGTACTATAATTTTTTTAGGCAGCTCTTCATAACTTTCACTTCACTTCTAAACTTCTAAATCCATAATTCATTAGATTACAATCTTACAAATAGTATTACTGATTAAAACTATTTTGTTTTTTCCAGAGGCAGAGGAAGGTGGATCTCTGTGAATTTGTGGACACCTTGGTCTACAAAGAATTGCAGACAAGCCAGGGCTACATGGTGTCTATCTCCAAAAAAGAACTAATATAGAAACCATCAAATTGCCCTGTAGAAGATACACTAGCATAGCCTCCTATTAACAGTTGTATCAGTTTTCCTTTGCCCTAGCTAGCTTATGCATACACTGTTACAATGTGTGATATATATATATCACAGAGAGTACATGTGTACATTTGCTGAAGCAGTTAATATATCTTCATAATAGCCATTTGTGTTTTTGTTATTTTGTTTTTTTAAATAGAAGAAAACTGGTGGTGGCTGGAAAATAACAAGAATGCCGCCCACCTCTGTTCTTTTGGAGTCATCTGTCGTGTTCTTAGCTCGGTTTTTATTTGGGATTTGGGCCATTAATTAATGGTAATCTATTAATTCTCATACATGTCCTGACCCTTTTTTTTTTTTTTTTTTTTTTTTTTCTGAGACAGAGTTTCTCTGTGTAAAAGCCCTGGCTGTCTTGGAACTGATTTTGTAGACCAGGCTAGCCTTGAACTCACAGAGGTGCACCTGCAACATATCCTGGCTTTAAAAAAGTCTTATAGCTGGGCAGTGGTGGCGCATTCCTTTAATCTCAACACACAAGAGGCAGAGGCAGGCAAATCTCTTGAGTTCGAGGCCAATCTGGTGTACAGAGCAAGATGTTCCAGGACAGCCAGGGCCACACAGAGAACCCCTGTCTCAAAAAAAAAAAAAAAAAAAATTTATTTTAAAAATTGTGTGTATACATATTTCTGTGTGGATGTGTACAAGTGAGTTCAGGTGTCTGGAGTTCAGAAGAGGGTGTTATATCCCCTGGAGCTGGAGTTATAGGTGGTTGTGATCTACCTTACATGGGTGCTGGGTACCAAGCTTGAGTTCTTTGGAAGAGCAGTATGTGCTACTAACCATTAATCTGTCTCTTATCCTATGTCCACTTGTTTTACTTGCCTTTTCATTTTGTTTTTGGAGCAATTTAATGTATAGAGATGCTTGTCTTGTTCAGTGTTTTGATCTGTTTTCCATTTATGTACCTCAAAAGATTTTTCCTGTCTCAAGACATTACCTGTATTCCTATATTTTCTTCTTGTTCTTTTTATTTAGTTATTTATTTGGGGGGGCAGTGCATATACCATGGTGAAGGTTGGACAAACAGCCTATGGGAATTGGTTCTCTTCTTGCACCACATGGGTCTGGGTAGTGAACTTGGGTTATCAGCTTTGTCAGCAAGTGCTACTGAGCCATCATGCCAGCCCTTTTAGTTTTTGGAAACCTCATGTGAATGCCCTAATTTTTATTTCCCAATTTGGTTTAAAGTGGGTATAGCTTGAATTTAGTAGAAATTCAATTGCTATTTCTTTCACAGCAAAGATTTGTGGAGAAGATGGCCAGGTGGATCCCAACTGTTTCGTTCTGGCACAGGCTGTAGTCTTTAGTGCAATGGAGCAAGAGTAAGTTCATATTCTCACATTAGCATTCCTGGGAATTCTGGTTCCTGGTTAGAAAATGGACTTCACTCAACTACAAACAATGCACTTTGGAAGATTAGGTCACTTGGATAAAGTCATTTGGGGTGATTGAGACTGTAGTATGTGGCAGAGAATTTGTTAGTAACGTATGTCTTCAGGTGGACATCCAATTTGTTCATGCTTTCAGTTTATGGTCTGTAACTAAACAATAATAAACTACATTCAGACTTTTTTTTTTTTTAAAGATTATTGCTGTGTGCCTTTAAAAATCTATATATTCATTCTGTTACTCGGTATTTATTACATGTTTTATACAGAGCCAGAGTAGTTAACAGTACCTGCCTTGAAGGAAGTTGTAGCTTAATAAAAGAAACAGGCCATGTTCTTTGGTTATTGTAATATGAGGTAGCATGTGTTAACCATCAGGAGAAAGCCCCAAACTCATTGAGAGATGGGGAGGTGGCTTACAGCTGAAAGGAATCAGGAGTAACACCTTAGGAAATAAGGCAGCTTTGACCCAGGCTTTTAAGATTTTATAGGAATAAAGCCAGGCAGTGGTGGTGCACGCCTTTGAACCCAGTGCTTGGGAGGCATAGGCAGACTGAGGCCAGCCTGGTCTACAGAGTGAGTTCTAGAACAATCAGGTCTACAGAGAAACCCTGTCCTGGGGGGGGGGGGGATTGAGTAGGAATAGTTTTGGAAAGAGTGTTGTTTGTTTATTTTTCAGTTATGCTCTTTCCCTCAAATATTCTCTTTTTGTCCACATGCAGGCACTTTAGTGAGTTTCTGCGAAGCCATCATTTCTGTAAATACCAGATTGAAGTACTCACCAGTGGGACTGTTTACCTGGCTGACATCCTCTTCTGTGAGTCAGCCCTCTTTTATTTCTCTGAGGTAAATGCCGTATTTTGTTTTCTATTCTGCTAGAGCATTCCAGCCCCATGCTGGGGGCTCTGTCTAAACAAAATTACATAGGACAGATAAGTCATTTCCAAAGTGATTGTTTTAGGTTGTACTTTATGGCAAGAGTTCTTTAATGACATAGTCATCAATTAAAGAGAAAACTCAGTATAAAGTAACCCTGATTTTAAGAAAGCACTGTAGTTACCTTAAAAGAGTACATTATAAAGAAGATGTGGAAGTGTTTTAATTGGAGGTTGTGAATATAGCTCAGTTGGCAGGGTGAAGCCCTGGTTTAGTCTCTAGTCCACATGAGACTCATCATGGTAGTGCAGACCTTTAATTCCAGCAGCACTGTTGAGGTGGAGACAGGGGATCAGAAATTTAAGGTTATCCATCCTTTGCTATATAATGATTTCAAGGACACCCTGGGCTACTTGAACTCCTACCTCAAAAATAAATAAATAGAAGCTGGGGAGATGGCTCAGTAAATAAAGTGCTTGTTGCATAAACATGAGGACCTGAGTTCAGATCCAGAGAACCCTTGTGAAAAAAGCTGGGTGTGGCAACACCCATCCATATGATCACTATTGGAAGTGGAGACAGGAGGCTCCTTGGCACTTGATGACTAGCTTGTCTACTTGGCTGGTGAGCTTCGGCCTAAGTAAGACACTATGTCTCAAAAAGTGAGGTGGAGTGCAATAAAGGGACATATCTGATGTCAACCTCTGTTTATATGCTCACATGAACCCCAGGTTCCGGAACCCCACACACACAAACATGAATACATACACTAAATAAGAACAAGTAAAAAAAGCCATAGAATTTTGTGCTTCATCCCATTGTAATTACAGACCAGATTTTAGAAGAAAAAAAAGTTTTCCCATATTCATCATTTTTTATTTTTCTAATTCATAGAATTTTCAGTATAATATTTGAAGCAAACTGTAAATTTGTTAATCTCTTTGAGACATAGATATTTTTCAACATTTGTTCATCTTATTGAAGTCTTTTAAAAGTTATTACCATATAATCATACATAATAATGAACTTCATTAAGACATTCATAGATGTAATAATATATTCTGATTATATTCACAAATAGATTGTTATCTCCCCCCTAATTTTCTTCCTTTTCCCAACTGTCCCCCTCTTCTGTTTCATATTTTTGTGTGTTTTTGGGGGTGAGTGTGTGGTGTGTGTATGTGTCAGTGAGTTTCATTAGGTTTGTTTACAGAAGCATGGACAGCTTATATTGACTTTACCACTGAAGAAAATGTCTCTCCGCCCCCATCTATCATTAACTTTGTGCAAATCCTTGGGGTGCTATGTAGCCCCCAATCTTTTCCCCCTTCCACAACGAGGCTGTTGATGAGCCCAGTGTGTGGAGATCTTCGCTGCTGTGGGTTCAATAGGGGACCGTCTACATTGTGCCTGGAATTCATTGTTGCACATCACTTGTCCCTTTCCTTCAGCTCTTACATACTTTCTGACTATTCTGTGATTTTTCTTGAATCTGGGAGGGAGTGGTACAAATGTCCATTTGTAGTTGCATATTCAACAATAATTTATGGGATCTGTAATCACCACTGATTGCTGCAAAAAGCTTTTTGGTGCTTTTTGCCTTTAATCCCAGCAATAGGGAACAGAGGCAGGTGGATCTCTGTGAGAGATGTCAGAACTGCATAGTGAGACCCTGTCTCCGAGAAAAAAAAAAAAACAAAAAACAAAAACAAATCCTCTCACCAAAACTAATACCACTATTCTATTTGTATGAATATGCTATCTAGAAGACAATTTGACAGGCACATCATATCTGTTTAGCTAAACAACAGCAGTATCTTCCCCACTAGGGCTTATGAACGCCTTAGCCATGAACTTTTGACTGGGCTTAAAGTACCAAATGTGGATTTCTTCCTTTGAAGTGGGTATCAGATATAATCAGAAAATAAATTGGTTAATTCCATAACAGACTTGCCACTATCATACCAGTGGGCACATCTTACCTGGCTGGTCTGGAGTCTATAGCCAGGTAAAATTGTAACAATTTTCCCCTAGTACATTGCATAGTGCCTTCCAACATGTAAGAGCTATTTGGCAGGGAAGAAGCTTCTGCTCCACTTCAACTTGATTCTTCTTTATCATGAGATCAAAGTGATTTCTTCAGCAAATGGGGTCTTACCATTTAGTTTTTGTGACAATTGCCTATATTGTTATGATGGTCTTGGAGGCCTCCCTGCTAGCAGCTTGTAGGAAGATAGCCCTCTCTGGTACTTAAATTTAGTTTAATAACCTATGGCTTCTGGAAGCATTATCCACCTAAAGCAGGTGAGACATACAGCTTTATTTAACTTTATTAGGCTTTAGCAAATGAAATATTTTTGTTACAAAACAAGTAACTATTATAAAGATTCCTATGGTAAGTTCTGGTTAACCTTCACAGTCCCTAGCATCACTTGGCAAAACAACTCCCCATTTCACAAAACAGCAACCTAGATGCTAGAATTGTACCTTTTTTGCAAGAGTGCAATAAGCACGCAGTTGACTTTTCATTTTTTCCTTTTCTGACCATGCTTGACATTAGTATTTGTTCAGATTGTCCTCCGGATGTGTCCGTGTGTCCTCATGGAATGGTAGCCATAATTAGGTGTAAAAGAATATTAATTCACTGTCATTACAGATAAGGAAATATGAGTTCAAATTTGTCTGATTCTTTTTTTTTTTTCTTCTTCTTCTTCTTCTTCTTCTTCTTCTTCCTTTTTTAAACTCCAGTGAATTGAAGTTTGTATCTCCTTGTATGTGGTGTGGGTTGTTGTTAATTTTACTCCCCACCCCTACCCTGAAAGAGTATTTAAAACTTGTCTACTTCAAGTTTATATTTTGCTGAAGGGTGTGGAGTAAAGGAGATTTTTTACTACTAACAACATACAAATTACAGGTGGTGAGGGAACTGCTTTGTCTTACTCTTTTGTGTTTTTCTTCCTAGTATATGGAAAAAGAAGATGCAGTGAATATCTTACAATTCTGGTTAGCAGCGGATAACTTCCAGTCTCAGCTTGCTGCCAAAAAGGGCCAGTATGATGGACAGGAGGCACAGAATGATGCCATGATTTTATATGACAAGTGAGTTTGTTTGATCTGCGTGTTTGTTCAGCAGGTGTTTTGAGCATTCACTATACACTGTGGTATTAATCTTGGATAAGGAATCCATGCATAAAAGCTGATTTGGATGTGTCAGATGCAGAACTCTCCAGTCAGAGAACAAAAGTCCTTGCTGTGGAGGGACTTTTATATCGTAAACAGGACCAGAATGTGCTTCTCAGGAGGACTTCACAGACAGAAACTATGTGGCTCTTCATTTAAGAAGTCCTGCTTCAGGGCTAGATGGCTCAACCACTAAGAGCCCTGCTGCTCTTCCAGAGGATTGGGATTCCATGCCCAGCACCCGCATGGAAACTCAGAAGCACCAGTTACTTCAGTATTATAGGCACCCACTGCCATCTTTCTGGTCTCTTCAGGCACCAAGCTTGCATATGATACACAGACATACATACATAGGCAGGACACTCATACACATAAATAATATTTAATAATAAAATACATGTAGGATATCATCTTTAAAAAAAGAAAAAACCTACCTCAAAGAAGAACATAGATGAATCATGAAGGAAGACCCTCAGTATCACCCTCTGGCCTCCACACACATATGCACACATATGCATGCTCACTTGCATATTGTATTGTCTATCTACATTGGTAATAAATGCTAGTTTTGTTTTAGTAGTTTCTGGATTTTATCTTTGGTGTTGGGAATTGAACCCCTTGTACATGCTAAGCATGCCCTCTACCTCTGGCCTACCCCAGCCAATTTCTCATTAGTTTTTACCAAAGACAAGAAATTGGGGAAAAACATACTGTAAATAAACCAAAAACATCTCCTCAGGCAAGTGAGAAGACTGGCCAGCCCCATCACCATGTCCTCCTTTACATTTATCCTTCTTGTGAGGAAATGTGTTGTGCCCATAGACAAAGGTAAAGGGGAGACTTGGGGATTAAAGAACTTCACAGGCCTGGGGGCTGGGGCAGTGACTCAGCAGCTAAGAGCACTTGTTGCTCTTTAGAGGACTGAGTTTCTGTTCCCAGCGCCACCTCAGGCAGTTCTTATATAACTCCATCTTTAGGAGATTTGACACCTATTCTGGCTCCATGGGCACCTCTACATGTTTACACATTCACACAGACCACATACACGTACACAAGAATTAAACAAAGCAAGGACTCAGTGATGTTAGAGTGAAAGGTTCAGGCTAAACATGGGACTGCAGGTTTGTGTCTGCCTAATACTCATCTAGGAGGGGCTGGCAAGGTGGCTCAACAGTTAAAAGTACTGGTTGACCTTCAGAGGTCCTGAGTTCAATTCCCAGGACCTATATTCCAGTTCACTAACATCTATAACTCTAGTTCCAGGGAATACAAGGGCACCAGGCACCCACTTGGTGCACACATTTGTAGACAAAACACCTGAACACATAAAATAAATAAAGCCAATCTTTTTTAGAAGAAGAGGAGGAGGAGGAGAAGAAAGTAGTAGTAGTAGTAGTAGTAGTAGTAGTAGTAGTAGTAGTAGTAGTAGTAGTATTTGTGTAGGAACTTGTTAAAAATTTGCTTCTGGGGGCTGAAGAGATGGCTCAGAAGTTGAAGTTACTGGTTATTCTTCCAGAGGACCTGGGTTCAATTCCCACCACCCACATGGTGGTTCACAACTGTGACTCCAGTTCTATGGGATCTGACACCCTTATACAGATATATGTGCAGGAAAAAAAACCTCAGTGCACATTAAGTAAATAAACCTTTCTTTAATAATCCACTTTTTGTCTTGTGTAGTAGATTCTGCTTCAGTGCAAAGGGTGTCTAAGAAATGCTTACTCTTTTGAAAACGTGATAATTCCGATGGATAATGAGATTGGGCATCTGGTCTGATTTTTGTTTTTGAAAGTAAGGAAGTCCCATGAAGGAAATTGTTTCTCAAAGTCATGGAGCAAGGTAGTGCCAGGGCTTTAACAGATCTAATGTGTTGGGTTAGTGGAAGGTATTAGGTAAGGACAAGGAGACGTGCTTTTTGTTATGGAAATGATGATGGAAAGAGAACAGTTCTGAAGACTGGAGCAGAGCAGTGGCCAGAGCCCCACTTAGTAACTCCACAGAGCAGACCCAGTTTTTCCACTGAGTCCCATTTTCACTTTGGGAGTCATTCTCCAAAGACTGGCATCTTTGTGGTGTTGCCATTTTGTTAGTTGGCTGTCAGGCTGGACTTGTAATTTCTGCTTGCCACTAGAGTATTTGCAAGTTTTCTTTTCCCCCTGTTTATACTGCTTTTTTGCGTCCATAATCAAAGTCCCAAACATCATGCACTATGTCCAATCAGGATCACACTCTTTTGGGTTTTCATTAACTACTTTTTCCTTTCTTCTCTAAATTATCAGAAGATCTTTTGAATTGACTCCAGTAAATCTATTCACTTCATCTTCAGTACAGTTTATTTTGGATTCCTATGTGTTATTACTATGTTTTGTGGGTATAGTGGTATATTCTCACTTTATCTTGTGCACATCTTTGTTAGTGTTTTCAAGGAAAATAATAAGGTCTTAGGAAATTTTCTTATAAACTCCTTTTAAAGACCTAACAGAAAACAGGTGCCCATTAAGTATGTATAGCTGGTTGATTTCTTTGTCTTTGTATAACCTGACTCACAACTCAAATAGCAAAGCTGGCTGGGTAGAAACTAAAGGTGTTTGGAAGACAGGTGAGAAGTGGCAGGTTTCCTAGAGGAAGTGAGAATAATAAAAGGTTACAAAGTGATACTTTCCTTACCTGGTTCCATACTTGAAGGTCTGAAGCAGTTGTGTAGTCTCAGATAGGAGTGTCTAAGTATAGACAGCTGCTTAAGCTTGTGTGTAATTTGGGTTTACTTTGAATCTCTTTCTGCCATAGGTACTTTTCTCTCCAAGCCACACACCCCCTTGGATTTGATGATGTTGTACGATTAGAAATTGAATCCAATATCTGCAGGGAAGGTGGGCCACTTCCTAACTGTTTCACAACTCCATTACGTCAGGCCTGGACAACCATGGAGAAGGTAATTAAGATCTTCAAATATTAAACTACAAGAAGTTTTCTTTGTGGAACTCTGAAAGTACAATGTGTAAGACAACAGTGGGAAATTGAAGTGGCATAGCATAGTGATTGAGAGCAGAGGCTTTGAATCCTGATTTGTCATGTATCAACTTCACTTTTATAAAAGTGGCCTACACAGTTACTGAACTTCTATTGACCATTGTATTGAAACCCTAATTTTATATATTCTGATCACTTTGAGATATCACTAACAGCTTGGTAATAGTGTTAATATTTATAAATAACTTATTCTAATGAATTAGAGCAGCGTTGTCAGAAGTTGTACTGAGACCAGGGCAAACTCATGAGTTTATGTCACTGAAATGTTTCCTGTTTATCCAGGTAGAAGGAGATTGATTAAGCACTATTATAAAATGCCATACACAAAACAACTGGACTTAGATGCTATCAAGGTAGCTCAGTCAAACTTGAATTAGTACTCTCAGTGATTTCATAAAAAGCTAGGTATGGAAAAGTGGCTTCTGTAATCTTAGCACCAAGGATCTAGAAACAGGAGGATCTGCCAATTGTTGAGCCCCAAGTTCAGTGAGAGACCCTATCTTAAAAAATAAGGGTAGAGAAGTGAATGAGGAAAACACTTAAAATTATCGTCTCTGCTTTTCACTTACATGCACATACATGTGCACACACAAAAAGACTAAATTTAAAAGAATTAACAAAAAAGACAAGTTATAGCAAAGCTAGAGATAATGTAATAAAGTATCAATAACAAGGTAATAACTTTTTCATGATTAAAATGAAAAATTTTCTAATTTGAAAGGAAAATCCAAGCATGAGGGGAATATAAAAACAATAAACTTAATGAAAAATAAAATACAGAGAGAAACAAGTTGTAGTTGAGTGTGGTGACATACAACCTACAATCTCAGATAGGTGGGAAGATTAAATGTTCAAGGCTAGGATGTATGGGGTGGCTTGGTTAGTGCTTGCCTTACAGGCACAAGGCCTTGGGTTTGATTCCTGGAACTCAAATAGAATTGCTGAGTAGAATGGCACACATCTGTGATATCCCTGTACTCAGGAGGCAGATGTGAGATTCCTGTGGCTCACTGGCTGGCCAGTACAGAGTAATTGGTAACCTCCAGACTAGTGAGAGACCCTGTCTCAAAGAAGTAGACCAAGTTACTGAGGATGACACACACACATACACTGACATTACAGAAAAGAGAAGGGCTGGCAGAATTTTTCAGAGGTCAGTTCCTAGAACCCATGGTGGAATCAGAATACTGACACTTGAAAGTTGTCCTCTTACCTCTACATGTGTGACATGGTACATGGATACCTATTTGCACATAACACACATAAAGTTAAATTGAAAAAAAGAAAGAAAATTGAAAATTCAAGGCCAGCTTGGGTAACTGAGGGAAATCCTGTCTCAAAAAGTAAAAATGGACTGTGTCTGTAAGTCAGTGGTAGGGCACTTGACTGCCATGTGGGAGATCCTAGGTTCTATCCTCAGTACTTTGAGGTGAAGGAAGACGCAAAAGCTCTTACTAAATGTTGGTTGGTAAGGATTTTGTACTAGGGTTGTTGGTTTTTTTCCACCAGAGTGATAGGGAGTAGGAAACTCTTCAAGACAGAGCTAACTGAACTCATGATGATCTTGCCTCCACCTTCCAAGTCCTGGTTATAGACGTGAACCACCATGCCCCCACTATCCTGCACTAATATTAACGGTAGTAGACCCTAGCAGGTAGATGAAGAAAGGATATGAAGACATGAATGATGCATTCAGCAAATACTTCTGAGTACCTCTATACTGGTTATTGGTGTTGCAGTGGTAAACAAATGGGGCTTTGAACCTTTGGAACTTAGGTCTGTAGGAAGACATTTTAATTACAGACAGGCATATCCACAGTTATGCTAAGTGCACTAAGGAAGTCTGTAATAGGAAATGAAAATAATAAACTTGAGTACTTACTCAATAATTCTTAAAGGACTGTAAAAACAAGCTCCAGTTGGCATTTATTCAACAAGTGCCATTAGTTATTTGGAAACAGATGAGAAACCAGCATTGGAAAGCTTGTGTAGATACAGATAATCTGATGTATTGCCAGTGATAGAAATTAATTAACATCCCTTTGATAGATAAATTCACCATATATTTGAAGGTTAGAATTCAACTTAGCAATCATACTCCTTGTAATTTATTATTAATTTATTTTTTTTTTATATTTTTTTTTTCTTATTTTACTCCCTCCCATCCCATTCCCTTGAGGGAGGGTGATGAGCTCTTCCAGGAGGAATCATCAGAATCTGTCAAGTCATTTGGGTTGGGGCCTAGACCCTCCCTCATGTCTCTAAGCTAATGGAGTATCCCTCCATGGGGAATGTGCTCCCAAAGTCCTTTCGTGCACCAGGGATACATCCTGGTTCCACTGTCAGAGGTCCCATATACTGCCCAGGCCTTCTAACGGAGACTCACATTCAGGTTTGTATACCTAGGTGAAGGTGCCCGTGGAGGCCAGAGATGTTTTATCCCCCTTGGAGCTTGAGCTGCTGACCTGGGTTCTGGGAACAAAATTTGGTCCTCTTCAAGATCAATTCAAACTCTTAACCACTGAGCCATCTCTCCAGCCTACATTCTTTATCATTTCTTAGAAAAGTCAGTTTAGAATTAAAATCAGTATGTGGTAAAGACTCAGACTATTTTATTCTCACTGTGTAATGCCCATGAAAGGTATGGGTGGACAACATTTTTTAGTGACAGTCGAAACTGGATAGTAATGTAAGAAGTAAGAGGTACAAGTATTGCTGTTAATGATAATCTTGTAGGTAAAGTACTAGATGTGTCTAGTTTCTATTTTTAAAATGCTGTTCCTCTTTCAGGTCTTTTTGCCTGGTTTTCTGTCCAGCAATCTTTATTACAAATATTTGAACGACCTCATCCATTCAGTTCGAGGAGATGAATTTCTTGGAGGAAATGTTGCACTGGCTGCTCATGGTTCTGTGTGCCTTCCAGAAGAGTCTCACTCAGGTGGTTCCGATGGCTCCACTGCTCAGGTATTAGCTAATTTCAATCTGTCAATGGGAAGGAAGGAAGGCATACAGAGCCTTTCTTCAAATGCCACCAAAAGATCCTATTCATATGTTTTAGATGCAAGAAAATAAAATCTAGTCAGACTGCCAGTTGTGATTAGGCTTCTGCTATATTGTAAAGTATCATGTTCTTTCATGAAAGCTGTTCATCTTCTTGCTAGCATGGCTTTGTATTCATGCATAAGAGTGTGCTTGCTGTGTGTGTAGAGGTCAGCCTTGGATGTTACTACTCAGACATTATTCACGTTGGTTTTGGGGATAGAGTCTCTTACTGACTCAGGACTTGCTATTGAGTTAGGCTGGCTGCCAGCAAGGCCTAGGAATCTTGCCAGTCTCCATCTCCCCAGATGCCATGACCTGCATGGCTTTCAGATTGACTTGACTGTATTGACAGTGACAGCAACATACACAGAAAAGCTGGGATCAAGTGGGTAATGCACTCTGATAGAGATGCATTAGCAGCCCAGAAATTCAGAATAGCTGAATCCTAAATAGTAGGTGGCCTCTGTAGGGGAGTTGTCTCAAGCTGCAGTCATACAGGAAGAAACACTGTGATTGATACTTTCTGCAACACCTGTCAACATCTGCACTTACAGAGACCAAGGGAAGGCTTTTCCATTCCCATGGTTCTGAGGCACTCACTGGGATCCTTGATAAGGCCATGCTCATGTCAACAATACATATTCACTCAGGATGTTCACTCAGAAATTCATCTGTTCCTCACATCCCAGGGGCTGGGATTATAAGCATTTCACCATGTCCACCCACACCATTTGTGGGTCCTGGTGGGGGATCCTAGGTTTTCATTCTTGCATGGCCAGCACATTACTGTCTCCTTAGGCCAGTAAAAGGTATTTTGAATTTTATAACTCTGAAGAGCTCATTTTATAATTATTTGTGAAATTTTAATAACTAAATTTAGAATACTTTTTGTTACTAGTGAACTCAGATTGTTTTAATTTGTTTACACGTTATGTGTATGTGTGAGCGCAGACACATACATGTCACAGTGTGGGAACCAGGGGATGTCTTGGATACTTTTTATTACTAGTGAACTCAGATTGTTTTAAACGTATGTATGATGTTTGTGAGTGCAGGCACACACATGTCACAGTCAGTGTAGGAACCAGAAGATACCCTGCAGTATCCATGTTGGGTTCTCGTTTGTTCTGTGAGCACTTTTACCATTCAGGTGTCTCATTGTCTCATTGACTTGAACCCCTGTCTCCTATGGGGTTTTTTTTTTTTTTTTTGATGTTGTTGTTTTGTTTGTTTGGTTTTTTGTTTGTTTGTTTTTTTGTTGTTTTTTTTAACTACTTTTGGGTTTGTTTTGGATTAGAATGCTGTTGTGCCTTCCTATTTTGTTGTTGTTGTTTTGTTTGTTTGTTTGCTTTTCAAGACAGGGTTTCTCTATGTAACAAATAGCCCTGGCTGTCCTGGAACTCACTCTGTCCTTGAACTCATCACATGCCCCTGCCTCCTGAGTGCTGGGATAAAAGGCATGTGCCACCACTGCCTGGCTATGCCTTCCTTTTTTGTTGTTGTTTTGTTTTGTTTGTTTTTTGAGCTGTTTATTTTCTAAATGTTAGTTAGCATACCTTACTGATTCTCCCTAAAATCATAGGAAGTGGGATATTCCCAAGACAGCAATTCAAAAGGAGGCATTAAGAAATTAACTGAGAGTTGGGCATTAGCACTCCGGTGGTGGAGGTAGGCGGATCTCTATGATTTAGAAGCCAGCCTGATCTACAAAGTGAGTTCGAGTGTAGGCTCCAAAACTATACAGAGGAATCCTGTCTTAAAAAGAACAAACAAACAAAAAAAAGGTTAACTGAGGGCAAGGAGATAAGTTCAGTCGAAAGAGGCATTTGTCATGCAATCTGAGTTCAATTCACAAAACCCATAAAGGTGGAAGGAAAGAACATACTCCACAAAATTCTCCTCTGGTCTCCATGTTCACAATGGGACACATGTTGCCCACTCCCACATAACACAAACATGGGTATGAACAATAATTTTTTAAATTAACTGATTTTTAAAATGTATATATGTGTACTCTGTTGAAATCTCACCCATATGTATTGATCAAAGTCTTACCCATTATCCTGCCATTCTCTACAGCCTTGTAAAGTTTTATTTACTAATTTTTTTTTTTATTTATTTTTGAGATAGGGTCTTACTGTGTACCCTGGCTTTCCAGGAGTGGAATATATAGTCCAGGCTGGCTTTAAACTCACAGATCCACTTGACTGCCTCCTGAGTGCTGCGATTAAAGGTGTTCACCACACCCAGCTTCGTTCTTATACCCTTTCCTCTCCTCTCCCAGATAATTTAATAACCAAGTGTGTTTGTATTCATACACAAGAGTGTCCCTGCTGTGTGTGCAGAGTCCAGAGGTCATACTTGGATGTTATTCCAGGAAGATGGCTCATTGGTTAAGAGCATTTGCTGCTGCTCTGATAGAGAGCCAGAGTTGATTCCTAGCACACAGATCAGACAGTTTAAAACTGGCTGTTAAGTCCAGCTCCAGAGGCTCTGATGCCCTCTTCTGGCCTCTGTGAGCACTCTCACACACATACACATGAATAAATAAATCTTAAAAAAAAAGTGATGGAACATGATGGTACATGCCCTTAATCCTAGCACTCAGGAGACAGAGACAGGCAGATCTCTGTGAGTTCCAGGACAGCCAGGGCTACATAGTGAAATGGTTTTTTTTTTTTTTTTTTTTTTTTTTTTTTTTTTTTTTTTTTGAGACAGGGTTTCTCTGTGTAACAGCCCTGACTGTTACAACTTGCTTTGTAAACTAGGCTGACCTCAAACTCACAGAGTTCCACCTGCCTCTGCCCCACCCCCACTCCCACCCCCCAAGTGCTGAGATTAAAGGCATATATTCTACCACTCTATCAGGAAAGAGAGCCTGTCTTACACAAACATGGAGAGATGGCTCTGTCCTTCCAGAGGACTCAGATTCAATTCTCAGCACCTGTAGTCTGTAACTTCAGTTACAGGAACCTAACATCCTCCTTTGGCCTCTGAAGACACCAGGCATATGGTACACACACATACTTGCAGGCAAATACTCATATACATTTTAAAAAAAGTCATTGCCAAATCTAAAGTAATAGACTTACAAATTACTGTTTCTTCTGAGAACCACAGATTTTTTTAACCCATTTTGAAGTTAGTTTTATATATGGTGTAAGATAAATGGTTAACTGCATTCTTCAATTTTATAGACTTATTATTACTATTACTACTACTACTACTACTACTACTACTACTACTACTACTACAAGTTCTAGCCTAGAATTTACTATGTAAACCAAGCTGGCCTTGAAATCAAAGCTCTAACTTTCTGTGCACCACCACAACTAGTACCCAACTTCATTCCCTTTCCACTAGATAGCCAAATGTCTCAGCAACATTTTTCAAATAGAAAAACAAAATAACTTGTTCTTTGGGCAATAACATTTTCAAAATTCAGTTGACCAAGCTGGAGGATTGGCTGAGTGGTTAGGAGCACTAGATGCTATTCTGAAGAACCAGGGTTCAATTCCTAGCACCCACATGATGGCTCACAGCCATCTGTAACTCTAATGCCAAGACATCCTAAGCCCTCTTCAGATTTCCTTAAGCACTGCATTCACATGGTACATTAACATACATACAGGCAAACATCGATACATATAAAATAAAAAGATATTAAAAACAATGTCTATGCTTATGTCAGTCCCATTGTTGTTTGTTTATGTGGGAATGGGAGATACTTTTGGACATGCCATAACTTGCTTGTGGAAGTAGGTTCTATCTTTTCCCCATATCAATCGTGAGGCTTGAACTTAGGTTGTCAGGCTTAGCAGCAAGCCCCGTTACCCACTGAGCCATCTCACTTGCTCTAGTTCTCTTGGCTTTAATTATATAGCTTTGGTAAGTTAGAATGTATGCATCTTCTTTTAGCTTTGGTGAGTTTGGAGTAGTTTGGTTTGGGATTTTTGAGACATGGTCTTCCTGTGTAGCACACTGTGACCTTGAACTCTCTATCTTACTCCTTGACCTGAGTGCCACCATACCTAGCCAGTTTGGGTTTTGTTTTTCAAGATTGTTTTGACTATTCTGAGTCCTTGCATTCCATGTGAACTTAGAGGTTGGCTTTTTCATTTTGATCAGGCTGCATGAAATCAGTACATACGTCTGGAGTATTACCATTGTAATAATACATTTTCTACTCTGTGAAGATAGGATATGTTTCCATTTATGTTCTTAGGTTCTTTTCAGCATTATTTTATAATATTACATAACCTTGCTCATTTATTCCTAGAGGTTTTTATTATTAATTTACTCGATGTGCATTGGTGTTTTGGCTGTACATATGTCTGTGTGAGGACATTGGATCCTTTGGAATTAGAGTTACAGACAGTTGTTAGCTGTCATGTAGGTGCTGAGAATTGAACCTGGGTCTTCTGAAAGAGCAGCCCCAGTACCCTTAACTGCTGAGCCATCTTTCCAGCCCTAGATTTTTCACTTAAAGTGCCTAGAAAAACAATGACTTTTGATATTGATCTAATACTCTTAACTCTGTTAAGTTCATTTGTTAGCTCTGAGTGTTTTCTCATAGTCTTAAGATCTTCTGCATTATATAGAAACTGAAGTAGTTTGCTTTCTGCCCACTTGGGGATGCCTTGGATTCCTTTTCTTGCCTTAACTGCTCTTCCTGCTGTAGTGTAGACTAGAAGTGAGAACAGGCATAGTTGCCTTTGTTCTGACCTCAGAAAAGCTTTCAGCTTTCTCCTCTTTACTTGCTATTAAGTCTAGATTTGTGGGTTCTAGGTTTTATTCATTTTGTTAATAGATGTTCTATATAAGATTGAAAAAATTCATTGCTGAATGTGAGTTGTATGTATATATATATATTTTTTTTAATTGCAAGTAGATATGTTAGGTATTTTAAAACATTTTTTTTTTTTTTTGTACTAAGGTCACTATATATAAGTTTGGGGGTTTGATTCTGTCGATACCAGTATTAAGTTTCTCATGATTTTCAGATGCTTTGTGTTTCTAGGACAAATCCTACTTGCTCATGTGGGTGGATTTATTTTTATTGGGGATTTTAGATCCATCACTCATGACCTACTGCTTATACTCCATAGATAATTGTTGGTCTTGGTTTTCTGGTGATGTCTGGTCTTATAGTGGGAGTATGTTAGTTGCTTATCTCCCTCATTGTTGAGTGCTTCCATCAGCTTGATGCAGTTGGGCACATTGCATCCATAATCAGGAAGGAGTGAATGCTTAAGCTCACCTTGTTTTCTCCTTTTGATTTTGTCCAGGACCCCATTCCACTGGAATGGTGCCACCCATATTAGGGTGTGTCTTGCCATCTTATTTGACCTAATCTAGATAACCCCTCATAAATGTGCTAGAAGTTTTTGGTTTGCTTGTTTGCTTTGTTGTTTTTAGGTAATTCTTTATCCTGTTGACAGTATTAACCATCACACTGAGTAAAGGTGCCTTACAGATGTGATGTAGTCCCTCTAGTATACTCCAATGTTCCTTTCATAGTTAACTATAAGTCATTTTGCATACATGAAAGCCTATCCATACCAATATTTTATTATTGTTGTTGTTTTGTTTTGAAACAGGGTTTCTCTGTGTAATAGCTCTGCCTGTCCTGGAACTTGTTTTGTAGATCAGACTGGCCATGAACTCACAGATATCCATCTGACTTTGCCTCCAGGGTCCTGAGATTAAAGGCATGCACCACCACCACCTGGCCATAATGGCATTTCTAAGATTTGAATTTTTGAGTCGACTCAATAGCTCTGTATTTTAGCAAAATGCCAGTTCTGACATGCTTAGCTTTTATTCATTCGTTTGTTTGTTTGTTTGTTTGGGGATTTGGAATTAGAATGCTGGAGGGGAACTGACAGTATGTAGTTACTGTAGGTATGGTTCTTTATCTTTTTTTAAACACATGGCCTCACTGAAAATTGAAAGCATTCATTTACCCTTTAAAGGTTGAGCATTGTGTTGACAGTTGGGTAACATGCAAATGCCTGGATGGCTGAGTTTTACATAATGGAAAAATAATATCTGAGAATAGCATACACTGCAACATAGTTCATTAGAAAGACAGGTTTGAGCTGGGCGTTGGTGTACATGCCTTTAGTCCCAGCACTCAGGAGGCAGAGGCAGGTGGATCTCTGGGAATTCCAGGTCAGCCTGGTCTACTACAGAGCTAGTTCCAGGACAGACTCCAAAGCAATACAGAGAGACCCAGTCTGGAAAAACAAAAAACCAAAAAAGAAAAAGGAAGGAAGGAAGGAAAGACAGATAGGTTTGATGTGTAGATGGATGCTGGGTATTTTGGTTTTGTACTTTTGTCCTTTCATTGTAACTGTAGAATGTGTTCCAGAGTCTTTGCCGCCACATCTCACATCTTTCAGTGAAAGAATTGAGTGATAAAGCAAACGTATTTGAAACAACTTCATACTAACCTCTCATCTTCCAAACTCAGGACTGGTTTGTTTTGTTTCATTTTCAATAATATACTATAAATTTTATAATTTCTGTTGTAGTCTAGTATGAAAAAAACCAGTATTAAAATTCTGAAAAATTTTGATGAAGCAATAATTGTGGATGCTGCAAGTCTGGATCCAGAATCTTTATATCAACGGACATATGCAGGGTAAGCTTAACTTGTGTGTAGAATTCATCTTTTAAAAATTAAAAAAATTTTTAAACACCCAGCATTTTTATATACTGTGTAATACAGTGATTAAAAGGAAGCCCAACATTGTGGCCCACCTTTAATCCCAGCATTCAAGAAACAGAGGTGGATCTTTGTGAATTTGAGGCCAGCTTGGTCTCATTCAGTTCTTGGACCCATGGTGGAAGGAGAGAATCAACCTCCCCATAGTTTCCTCTGACTTCCACATGCAAGCTATGACACATGTATAGCTGCATTCACATGTATAGGAGGGCTCTGAGGGGGGTTTCAGTTCTGTCTACTTTTTGGCATGTTATTTAACCTATTAGTGTTTTGTATTTAATCCTGCAAATTGCTAAAGGGCATAAAGGTTAAAGGGCATTACTATACACAAAAAGCACTTAAAATAGTATCTAATGTCTAGGAAGAACTTAGTACAAATCATTCCCATCATCTCTCCACTACTAAGTAACAGTTGATGATGTCATAGTTACCTACTGTGTTCTAGACTGTCTGCTCTATACATTCCATTGGGTTCACATTTTACCTGTTTGTTTTGTTTTATTCATTTATTTTGAGACAGAGTCTCACTATGTAGTCTTACTGGCTTGGGATTTAGTATAAATATTAGGCTCGCAGAGATCTGCCTGCCTCCGCTTCCTGAATGCTGGGATTAGAGGTATGTGCCACCATGTCTGGCCATTTTAGCTATTTTAAAGTCTGGATTGTAAAAACAAAAATACACATAAAGTTAAAAAGATGCTGATCTTGTTGTGTGTTCCATAGCTATTACTTAGGAAACTAAGTTATTTCTTTGAATTTGAGAATGAACTTGGTGGGGTTTTGTTGTTGTTGTTTTTTGGGGTTTTTTTTTTTTTTGTTTGTTTGTTTGTTTGTTTGTTTTTTGAGCCTAGAATGGAAAGACAACAGGATATTTCACTTACTGAAATTTACTAGACACACATAAAGTAACTTCTTTCTTAAGTGTAGTTTGATGACTACATAAACTTATATAGATTTAATTTTTTGTGTGTATATGTGTGTGATTACCCTACCCTAAGTGTGGTTTGATGAACACATAAACCTCTATAGATTTGATTACTTACCCTATGCTGTACTTGATCTTAACAGTTTGTGAAAGAAATTTCACCATCTTTTGTCAGAAATTAACAGTGGCATTTGGATGACTAAAAAGTCTAGAAAAAACTTTGAGGAAAACAAAATTTTAATCACATTGTCTTTGAAAGTGTCAGCTTTATAGTAATCTTTTTTTTTTTTAATTGTATGTGATTGTGTGATTTGTTTATGTGGGCACACAGGGCATGGGGTGGTGTGCCCGCCAGAGCACCCACTTTGTTGACTTGGTTCTCTCTTTTCCCCATTCTCTGGGTTTGAACTCTTGCCTGCCTAGCTTTTGAGGAATGTTTAATGATCTTTTAAATGGTCTTTTAAAAATGGTAGACAGAGTGCTTGCTGTGCCAGTGTGTGGACCTGAGTCTAACCTCCATCACCTACATAAAAAGCCAGGCATGGGTTTGTATTTTTAGACTGGAGAGGCAGAAGGATCCCAGGGGCTCATTGGCCTTCAAATAAGATTGAATCAACAAGTTCCAAGTTCAGTTTAGTTTTGAAGGCAGCATCCACCTGACAGCTAACAACTGTCTCTAACTCCAAGATTCAGTACCCTCACATAGACATACACCCTCACACAGATATATATATGCAGGCAAAATACCAATGCAAATAAAATTTAAAAAATGAGCTTGTTGCAATAAGTGCATGTAAGCTTATTGTCCTCTTTAATCATTCACAGCTGATTCTTTTCTCCTTTTCCTGCTTAGGTCATCACTGTTACACAATATTGTACATTTTTTGCTGTTCACTTTTACATTATTGATATTATACTCTATTCTGTGTTTAATGATTTCATTCATGAGTTTAGGGGAGAGTTTTGGTTAGTGGCTTAGTTTTGTTCTGTCTTCAGTTTTGAGGATTGAGTCCAGGGTGGAGTCTGTGGTAGCACACACTATACTACAAAACTACAGGTTCATCCCCATTCTGATCCTATAAAGTGTATCAGACTGTTTTGTTTCTTCTTTTGCAAAATTGTCTTGGCTAGTGTTGTGCCTGCTCTCTGTATGGAATTCAGAACTTGAATTACCTACTGTTGTTTCATAAACCTGTTTTGGGGTTTTAAGATGGATACCAATGAATTATAGATTGTCTCCATGAAAAGATACTCTACTTCAAATAAAGCCCACTTTTAATAACTTGAATTGCTATGAATTGTGTTTCTAGTTTTTGAGCTATAGATGAGCTACTTAAATGTGGTTTTGAATTTTAGAAATTATATTCTTCTTTTTGTCGTGTTTAGGAAGATGTCCTTTGGAAGAGTCAGTGACTTGGGGCAGTTCATCCGAGAATCTGAGCCTGAACCTGATGTAAAGAAATCGAAAGGTTGTATGCAGAACTTTTTTTCTTTATATTGAGCTTTTGCTCACATTAGATACTAACTATAAGTGAAGGATTATTTAAGGTTTACAGTCTTGTAATTGCTGGGTTTTTACTCTGTGTTTATAGATTCCTCTCAGGGTGGGGACTTTGTGTACCACACCTCTACAAAGTCTCTTCCTTTGAATAAAAAGTTACTCAGCTGGACTTTGCTACTACAGAAGGTGCAACAGGAGGGATATATTGTTTTCCTTTTTATTTAAAGGGTTACATCCAGTCCAGGTTGGCCTTATGGCTTGTGACCCTTGAGTTTGTTAAATCTCCTCAGTTACTGAAAATTATTATGAACTATGTATGGAAAATAATAAGTTGAAATTCCAGTCCTTTGTCTAACAATCAGTAGAAGAGTGACTTGGTTAGTTAGGTCTTATGATTTGGACCAAAGGTGTTTTTCTTTTTTCATTTTGTGTGTATGTGGTATATGTACATATGTTCAGTCACATGGCTTGAGCCCAGAGATTTATGTTGGAATGTTTTCCTTAATCACTTCTTCACCTTCTCTTTTTGAAACCTGGAACTTGCCTTTCAGCTAGACTGGTTGACCAATCAAACCTCACCCCCAGGCTGTCTCCGCCAACTCATATCCCAGCAGTGAGGTTACAGATGTGCAGTTACAGCCAACTTTTTGTGTGGGTCCTGGGAATCTGAATATAGCAAGCACTTTGCCCACCTAGCCCCTCAAGTTTGTCTGTCTCCCCCACTTTTTTTTTTCTTTTTTTCTTTTTTTTTCTTTTTGAGACAGGGTCTCACTGTATATCCCTAGCTGACCTGGAATTCATACACATCTGTCTTTTTCTGAGTACTGAGATTAAAGGCATACATGCACACCTAGCTATTTCTTTCAAGTCTTCTTTTATAAAAATGCATTCTTTGCAATTGATTCCAGTTCCAAACAATTGGTTCACACAGAATTTTGCAAACAAGTATGGATCCATTCAGAGAACATCTAGAACTTGTCAGTGTAGTTGGATCAACTGTAGTGTATTGAGTAAATGAGACTGACTTTGTAAAAGAAAATGCCCTTATTAGGGTTAAAATAGTTAAAATAGCTGTTGGTAGTCTTCCTTTTGGGTTTAATAGCACTGCCTTCCTTTGTGCTTTGTTTTTAAATGCAAATATCTGGGGATGCAAGAGCATTGAGATTGATTGTTACACTTGGGAAATACTTCAGTCATCTGAGTGCCATGCACATGCTAAATGCCAGAGTTTGGTTCATTTTTAGGCCTCTTAACTGTTAAACATATCAGAGTAATTCTAGAAGTCTCTGCCTCCTAGATTTTCCTAATTATGTTACTCAGCTTTTTTTTTTTTTTTTTTTTTTTGCCATTTCTTACAAACTGGAAATTATACATTTTTATAGGAAGTACTTGTAGATGGTATTGTTCAAAGACTCTCCATGTTGGTGTGGTGGTGCACTCCTTGAATCCCAGCATTTGGGAAGCAGAAGCAGAGGCAAGTGTATCTCTGTGAGTTTGAGGCCAGCCTCAATATTGAAGTTATATATTAAAATACCACCTGAAAAGATCTGCAGAAAGTTTAATATCAGTTAAGCATACAAAATGGAGGGGAGTGAGATTTTACTTTTCATTTTCTCCTTGTCTTCTACTGTGAAACATTACTGTTTCATCATTCACCCTGTTCCTTCTTCCTGGCATTTACTGTACTTGAAATCTGTCATCCCTGCTGGAACCTATGATTGTCCCTCTATAGTTAAGTTGATCCACTCTCTTTGACAAACTACATTCTAATTGAGCTGTGCTTCACAGTTCTGATGTCTCTTGCTTCATGGAGCCTTTTGTAGTTGCTGCCCTGCTGTGGTCTGTGTGCAGTGGTTGGTTCCTCCTCATCTCAGTATTATCTCTTCATACAAGCTTTCCCTGCCCACATGAGCCAGTGTACTGTTTTTTGGGTAACTTTTCCTCTTGTATAACTATAACATTAGCACTATGAACTCAAGTATTGTCTTATCTTTATTTGGAATATATTCCCTGTTTGTAAAACTGTGCCTAGCAGATATTAGTCAACACTTGTTGATAGATTAATTTTTGAATTCCATTATGTGAGTGATAAAATCATGGGCTTCATTTTATTTCAAAACCGTTATTTTTAAACTTGGTTGCCTTTTGCATGGACATGTAAGTTTTCTCATCTCTACATAATCTTTTGATCTATAGATACTCAAAAGAAGTCCTTCCTCCTTGTTCAGACCCTAAATAGTGGCTACTTACTAGAATATTCAAGCATATATATGATGCATCAATGTATATACTTAGCTCTTCTACAAATGAAGAAACTGGGGGTTCAAGAGCCTGTAGTTTTAGCAGATTAATAGTTTGTTGTACTGTAATAAAATAATCTTACAGAAGCAACTAAAGGGAGAAAGAACTTAGTCTGTCTCACAGTCAAGAGTACAGTCCATCGTGGGAGGGAACTTGAGGCAGGACCGAGAAGCAAGCTGGTCACATCAGGTCCACAGCAGGAGCAGAGAATGATAAATGCTTGTGGTTACTCACTTCCCTTTCCTCATTTATGGAGTCCAAAGCTCCAACCAGAGAATGGTGCCACCCTCAGTGGAAAGGTCTTCCTGAGGAATTATAGATTATGTCACAATTGACACTATCATCACAAATAGCAACTCTAGGGGTTTGACTCAGAATATCCTCTGGCAAGACCTTGCTGAGCAAGACAGCTGACTTGAGTTTTTGTCATTTACTGGCCTATAATTCTGATTTGGCTTTTGAAACCCTAGTAATAAAGCACAGGGAAAAAGATTGAGTTTTAAGAAAGATCTTAGGCTGGTAAGATGCCTCGGTGGGTAAAGGTACTTGCCGTGCAAGCCTGGCAACCTGAGTTCAGTCCCCAAAATCCATGGCAGCGCCACAGAATTGTTCTCTTATCTCCACACTTGGGTCATAGCACTTTCATGCCCCCAGAAATAATAATATATTTTTTAATTTAAAATGCTTATGAATATCTTAGAGGTTTCTGAAAATATGAGAACTTTTATTTCAGAGCAAACAAAGTAAGTTATATTTCAAAAAATAGCAAGCGGCTGGGGAGATGGCTCAGGAGTTAAAAAAAACTTTCTTCTCTTATAAGAGAACTCAAGCTTGATTGTCAGAACTCAAGGCCAGGTGAATCACAACCATAGAGGGCTACACACAGAAATCCTGTCTCAAAAAACAAACATAAAAATAATAAATCTTAAAACAGTAACAAGGAGAATTACAAAAAAAAAAAAAAAATGTGAGCGTGTGTCCCTCCAGTAGCACCCTTCCTTGTGCCTACCTTTGGGAGAGCCCTTCTATGCCTTATTAAGGAGATTGAACTCTAAACTCTATGGTACTGAGTTTCAGAGCTGACTGCTAGCCAGAAGTAGTTCTGTGGCAGTAAAATGTGAAAGAAATAGTGCTGGGGAAAGATAGATATCAAGAAAACTATCAATCGGTCTGTAGGACTGGTACTAAGAAGGGATTTGAAGTGAGATGTTAGCAGAAATTAGAAGAGTCCAGACTGAAGGTTGAAAGTCAAGTAATTGTAGGAGTATAGTAAGTACATAATTCAGCAGCCATGTGAGATTTTAGTATTTGACTTATTGACTCTGCTTGGCAATAACTGATGCTCAGACTAGTGTTTAAAACCTTAAATGGAGAGTTGGAGAGATGACTCATGGTTAAGAATGCTTGCTGCTCTTCTGGAAGACTGGAATCTAGTTTCCAGCATCCACATGGGGTGGCTCAAAACCACCGTAACTCTAGCTCCAGGGGAGCCAGTGCTCTGACTTCCATGGGATCCTACATTCACATGTACAAATACATGATAACAAATAAATAAATCCTTTTTGTTGTTTTGTGTTTTGAGACAGGGTCTTTATTATGTATCTCTGCCTGTCCTGGAAGTTACTGTGTAGACTTAGGCTAGCTTCAAACTCTTAGAGATCCACCTGCCTCTGCCTCCTGAGTGCTGAGATTAAAAGTCACGTGCCATCACCACCAGACAAGTTCTTCTTTCTTTTTAAGTAAAACTCTCAGTAATTTTTATTATTGAAGGACTATAATGGCATGTCTAGACTTATTTCAGCTACTGAATTAATTAGGATCATATCTCTTTTGGTTTTTTTAAGACAGTGTTTCTCTGTATTGCTTTGGAGCATGTCCTGGAACTCACTCTGTAGACTAGGCTGGCCTCGAACTCACAGAGATCTGCCTGACTCTGCCTCCCAAGTGCTGGGATTAAAGGCATGTGCCACCAACACCCAGAAATTAGGATCCTATCTTAAGGATTAATCTGGGGCTAGAGAGAAAGCTGAGTGAGTAAAGGCATTTGTGGCCAAAATTGACAACCTTAGTTCAGTTCCCAGGACACCCATGATGGAAGGAAACAACCAATTCCTCTAAGTTGCCCCTCTGATCTCTATACTTACGAAGTCTCACCTGCCTACAATAAATAAAAATTTTTAAGGTGTTTGTTTTTCTTAAGAAATATCACCAGGTGGTCATGGTATACGCCCTTAATCCCAGTACTCATAAGGCAGAGGCAAGCAGATATCTATGAGTTTGAAACCAGCTTAGTCTGTAGAGTGAGTTCCAGGACAGCCAGGACTGTTAAACAGAGAAACCCTGTCTTTGAAGGGAGGGAGAGGGGAGGGAGGAGGGAAGAGAGGAGAGGAAGAGAAGAAAAAAAAGGAATACTTCAGACTGAAGAGAAAAACAAGTCTACCCATCAGTCTCCTGATGTGTTGGTAGATTCTTATCCCAACTATTATATTGATTAAGGGTATGTTTGTTTCATTGTTAGCTACAAGTCTAACATTAACCTTCTTCATCTGGTGAGAAGAGTAGAAGAAAAGAACTCTGAAATGGCTCTTCAGAAGCATTTTAAATGACAATTTTCACAGTTATTATAAACATTTATAGAAGCAATATAAACTGTCTTTATTAATGTTTTAATGGGACACTGGAAAAGAATATCCATGTCTAAGTGATATTATCTCCTAAAAACATTTGTAATATAAAATTTCACTGAGAATCCATATTCATTTTGGCTTTGTTTACTAGGGTTCATGTTCTCACAAGCTATGAAGAAGTGGGTGCAAGGAAATACTGATGAGGTAAGTCTTTATTATATCCTTGTAGAAACAGAAGGCCTACTCTACTGGCGTTAACAGTAGAAGTATCTTCAGAGACTTTAGCCACTAAAACCACCCCAAATTCATCAGTGTAGAGACAAAGCTGAGATGTTTCCTTTGCTGGTTTCATTTGTGGTTTTAGCAGGGGAAGCTTGTCTTTGGAATGGTTAAGTACATTGAGAAATGAAAGTGGGAAAAAAAAGTGTTCTATTTTAACTATCAAGTATAGAAAGCAGTCATGAAGTTGGCTGCTCAGTAACTGACCCTGTAAGGCAGTGAGTGACATGTTAATATATCACAGCCAGAGGTACCCAGATCCTTTGATATATGGGAAAGTGCTTTTTATATGATAAGCATGTTTAGAAAACTGGTTATAAGTATCTTGACCCTCCTAATGAATAGTCATTATCAACAATTTGAACTACTACTTTCAGGCCCAAGAGGAACTAGCTTGGAAGATTGCTAAAATGATAGTGAGTGATGTTATGCAGCAGGCACACTATGATCAACCATTAGAGAAATCTACAAAGGTAAGGATGATTTCTGTTCTGACTTAGCCATTCATTGTTTAGTTGTAGCCCAGGCTAGACCCAAAGTCTTGTGACTAATGTTCATTTAGAACTTCTGATCTTCCTCCTCCCAATTGGTGGAATTATAGGTTGTGCCATCACAACTCATTTCCATAGTGCTGGGAACATTGTTAATATTATGAAAGCACATTCCACCAACTGAACTGTGTCTGTCCCAGACCTGACTTTTATAAAGTAAACGACTCGCGCGCACGCTCATACACACACACACACACACACACACACACACACACGAGAATTTTGAGTGTTTTAATAATAGAAAAAAAGAGGAGCTAGGATTAGGACTTTGTGGTTAAGGGTGTATACTGTTCTTGCTAAGGACCTGAATTTGGTTCCCTGAATCCATAACCACCTGTAACACCAAGATCTGATGCCTGTGGATCTCTCTCTCTCTCTCTCTCTCTCTCTCTCTCACACACACACACACACACACAGAGAGAGAGAGAGAGAGAGAGAGAAAGAGAGAGAGAGAGAGAGAGGGAGGGTGGGAGGGAGGGAGAGAGGGAGGGAAGGAGAGGGAGAGAGAGAAGAGAAAGAGAGAGACTATGTTAGGATACTTCTATATCTGCCTCTGAAGTAGTAACTGCTATGGAATTACCTTTCACCATCGCAAAACCAATGAACTAAACAAAATATGTTTCCAGATAGTGGACAGTGTGTAATCTTTGAAAGCCATAGGATTGAAGTGATTTCCTAGCCCCACTGTTGACAATTGGCTTCTGAAGTAAAGAAGGCAAACTGAACAGATCCCAGGAGATTTGATGAACTGAGGTATGAAAAGGAAAGTTTAGAGAGGAAAATTTTGATGTGGTTATTTATAGCAGTTATGAGACAGCATCAGAAAAGAAGACACTGTCCAGACAAAAGAACTAGAGATGCTGGGAAGGCCCTCAAGTCATGGGCCAGATACCAATCTTCATGGGTGTATGTGAAAATGTTTATCTCTAGGGAACAAACCCCCAAAGTTTGATGCTGAGTGATACCCAAAAAATAGGGCTAGGAGTAGTTGATGATCCTTCTGACCAAAGTAATATACAAAGGATCAGAGCATTGGGGGTTATTGTCTTATTATTAGAGCTAAGTCAGCCCTAATACACCTCAACAAAGTTTAAAAGCAGTTTGGGAGGATTAGATACATATACCTGTATGCCAAAACAAAGCTAACCTTCTTTAAAGGAACATAACATAAAGGTGTAAAGAGAAAACTGACTGACCCATCCATATACATCATGTATGCACACACACACACACACATACACACACACACACACACAAAATAATATTGAGTAATAATGTTGAAAATAGTAATAAAATTTAAAAGGAATGTCAAGGCAAATAATATAGGGAGGAGAAATGGAAGACAGATTTTTAAAACCAAGGTTCTTGAAATTAATAATGGTAGAGGTGAAGAATAACACTGAATGAAATCAGTTGCCATTTAGGAGCCACAAGAAAATGTTCACAGTAAAAGTCTGGAAATATTTTTTTTAAACATAAATAAAACAAATGCTGATGGACAGCATGATACCATCTAACAAACATTTGAGCAACAAAGAAGTTGAGATGCAGGGGGAAAGAACCTAATAAGTAAAAGTCAAACAATGAAGTTATCTTGTGGTAAGCAAAGTTGAAGTAGTTTTTTATAAACCAAACAAAACCTGAGAGAATTCATTTCCAGTGACCAAACAACTGAAGTCAATCTTTAGATTCTTTTAAACCAGGTGTGGTGGTAGAACCATAATCTTAGCTCTCTGGAGCCTGAAGGTGGAAGACTATGAATTTAAAACCAGCCTGTACTATAGGGAGCTCAAAGAATGACTGATCACACAATACTCTAAAAATAAAGCAAGACAACAACCCAACCAGGCCTTTTTTAATTATCATCATCATCATCATTATTATTATTATTGAAAAACTCTTGACATATACTGGGTGAATTTCCTAAAAAAATTTTTGTGTTTTAGTTTATGTGTTTGCGCTCATGCTTGGGTGCGCGCGCGCGTGCGCACGTGCACATATAGAGGCCATAGTTTGACATCAGGTGTCTTCCTCAATCACTCTCCATCTTATCTTTTGAGACAGGGTCTCTCACTGACCCTGGAGTTTACAGATTCTTCTGAACTAGCTGTTCAGCAAGCCTCAGGTGTCCTCCTGCCTCTGCCTTCCCCATCGCATGCCACTATGCAGGAATACTTGGACGCTAGGTCCTGAACTTAGGTCCTCACACTTGTGCAAGCACTTTACCTCCTGAGCCATCTCTTCAGCTCCACCATACACAATTTGTATGTGCTCAAGAATCATCCGCCAAGATATACCATCTCCTCGGCCATAAAACAAATTTCATTGATTGTAAATGATTAAAACCTATAGTCTTATTTTCTGACCAAACAGGAATTAAGCTACCAAAAAAATGGATGGATGGAGGAGGTGCCTGCTTATCCCCCCTCCCCCAAAGTACTTGAAAATGAAACAGTACTTATCTTAGTTTAAGTTTCTACTATAATGAAACACATGACTAAAGAGCAAGTGGAGGAGGAAAGGGTTTATTTTGATTGCACTTCCAAATCACTGTTAATCTAAGGAAGTTAGTACAGGAACTCAAGCAAGAACTTGGAGGCAGGAGCTGATGCAGAGGCCATGGAGGAGTGTTCAGTCTATTTTACAGAACCCAGGACCACCAGTCCAATGATGGCACCAGCCACAATAGGCTCTGTCCTTCATGTGAATCACTAATAAGACCTTATAGAGGCATTTTCTCAATTGAGGTTCCCTCCTTTTGGATAACTCTAATATGTGTCAAGTTGGCATAAAATGTCTTAAGTCCAAAAAGAATCAAAAGGCAAGTTAGAAAATATTTGACTAACTTAATATGGAAGCATGTGTTTTGGGTTATTGCTGAAGTAGTTCTCAGATACCGAAAGGGGGAAGAGCCCTTGCTGCATTGACCTGACAACCCACAGTGAAAGGAAAGTGCCAGCCCCTGACACTTGTCCTTCCATCCCCACACATTTCCCATGGCTGGTGAATACCCACACATATTTAGAGGTACACATACTTAATAACAAAATGATAAGGAATCAGAAGGAAATAGAGATAACTGAGTGACGTAGGACACAGGTGAACAATAGAGAAAACCCCTTTTAAAAGACCATTTGACAAATGCCTAATTAGATTGATTAAGGGAACATAAGAGATTACCAGCTGGCAAGTGGTGGTAACTGCACTGCCAGCCCTGGGGAAGTTGAAGCAGGAGGAGGAAGTTAGAGTCCCTTTCTCAACAAACAAGGTGGATAGACCCTGAAGAATGGCACCCAGAGGTCACTTTTGGCTTCCATACAATGTGCACACATGTGCACACGAACTCTACAGAGAGGAAAGTGAATGGTTTCATTAGAATAACCATTACCCAAACAGAAAAATAAAAGCAAGTTCTTAGCCTCTTGAAGCTCCTGTTAACTTAGGGTTATCTGAGGATGGTTAATTCTTTGCCTTACAACAAAGTACTCAGCTGTGCCCTAAGCTCTGGCACATAGGAAGCACTGTGTCCATGCTGGCCTTTATCTGTGCTGGTAATACATCACTTACTATAGGATGATACCTTAACCTTTTTGTTTTTGTTTTCTTTCTTCCCAGCTGTGACTCAAAACCAGAGATAAGGAAATACGATTTTGAAAAATAAGAACTTTCCCCTTTGGTTGGATTCGTCAACACAGCCTATGAAAATGGAGCACTGCATTTCTTTCCACTACTAGAGCATTGTTGTTTCCAAGAAAGAATGCGAGACAGTCCAAGATCTGTTGTTAAATGTAGACATAGATGCACATGATGTAACACAGTGAGTCACAAGATACAGAGTGGTATTGGTGACATCACTAGACAATTAGTTTTCCAGTAGCTGTAACCCACTATGAGAGAGTTACCCACTGGAATAGACAGGGACCACATCCTGTGTGAGGTTGGTGTGTGGTCCACCTGCTTGTAGCAGGCTCCATCCCTAACAGTATCAGAAAGCACGAGACAGAGGTGCTTGTTTTTTTTCCTAAAATTCACAGGTGAGTCAGACCTACCAGGAACATTCAGCTCCAAATGGCAGTGTGAGCCAGCAGCTTGTGGAGCAGGTGACTATCCCTTGTGTAGTCTTCCTTCACAGAGGCATTAATTTAGAAAGAAGCCTACAAGTCATTGGTCAAGCCTCAGTGATGTCATCCTTCTCTTGGGTGACAACACAATTTTCACATTTCACTCACTCCTGTGATGTTATATCTTTAAAGCTAGTGTCTCCTCTACTAGCAAAAGGGCAAATTTAGTTTACTTTGAGCATCAAGACCCATTCCTCCATAGGAATGCCATGCTCCAGATTCTTTATTCCCTCTTCAAAATACACATGGGGAAAAAAATAAATAAATATCACTCCATTTTTCCCATGTGGTACTTGGAACACATTCTCAGATTTTATTTTTTTAATAAGGTGGGGAAAGACACACTCGCTTTTGAGTGTCTCCCCAGTCTTCACTGTGAGTGGGAAGTGTGCAGTTGCCTTTCCCCTTTCCGTCTTCAGACAGTAGGAAACTCACACTCTGCCCTTCTGCTTAGTTGGCTGTGCACCTGTGGCACGGCATGGGCGGGGCCACCTAGTTGGCAAGCACACTCCCCCGGCCATGAGGTGCCAGTGCTTCCTGTGTGTGACAGTTTAGAGAGAAAGGAAGTTTTCTTAGGTGTTACTGCTTTTGCTCAGAGTTTGCAAAAGAATATATATATATGTGTGTGTATGTATATATAATTATTAATCACCTCTGTCTTTGGGAAAGTCTTGAATGAATAGAGAATTTATTTCATGCAATATTGATTGTATAGAGGCACACTGTTTATCAACAGAAGCAAAAAGGCTGTGTATAAGTTTTTGGTACTATGTACCACCTCTGTTATTCTGAAGTATTCATGTAAACCATATTCTATTTAATTGTGTTTGATTTTAAATATATATATGAATTATATTTAAAATGGTGTCAACTTCCTGCTTTCAGGCATTTATGGCTCTTCTATTGAAATATATTGACCCTTCTTAATATTTTCATTTGCTTTACAAAACCCCAGAATATGATCCACTACTGGACATAGTCTCGTCTTTGGACATAGGCATAGGTGAGAGGTTTTTATCGATATATGTGCTGTGGTGGCTCAGTTTGTCCTTTTAACAAAGTATTTCTATCCATTTCATATTGCTTCAAACTTTGAAGTGAAAAGCAATATAAAGGTTGTAGAGTAAAATGTGATGCTGGGTGACTCTTGCCTCTGCATGTTTTAGAGTAAGCATTTCTGTAATATTCTAGGCTATTTAAACTGGTGACTTTTGTTAAAATACTTTCTAGTGATTTATTTGTATGCATTTTGTACTTCTGAGCTAGAGATGTCAGTGTTTATAAGCTATGTCTAAGGGGAAATGAGCAAAATTGAGATTGGCTTTGTTTTTTGCTCTGCCTTCTGTGAGGTACAGAAACAGAGTGACCCAAAGCGATTAGACCAACTATGTGTTAGATCCTTGTACTCATTTTAAAATTAGCATAAGATTGACTTAACATCGAGCACCCACTGTGTTCCAGGCTCTATGCAATGTATCCACAAAATGATTCACTGGCAGGGTTTTTAAGTCTGAAGAAGCAGTTGAACTTCATTCTTACCATGCCGTTGATGTCAGCAGGTTGTTAAAAGTCAACTTACCAATGCAAAAGTGATAGCATTGTAATTTGGCTTGTCTTCATCATTTCTATAGGCAACCAAGTCCAGTGAAGAACAGTGAAACAGGAAACAGCCCTTTCTGCCTGGGTTCCATTATCAATTCAGGATTTTTGAGATGTAAAATGTTTACACTACTGGAGCTTTGACTTGTTCCCTAGATATTTTATGAGAAGGAGGTCACTCTGAACTGTAGAAAATTACAAACTGCATTCCTGTTGTTTTTAGTTTTTTGAGACAGAGTATCACTGTGTAGTCGTCTTCAGCCTCCAAAATTAGGGGATTACAGGCACAGCCTCCACACCAGGTTTCTTTGCTGGTTTTAGTGTCAACACCTAAGCATTTGATGTAGCAGCTGATGTCTCTAAAGGCACTGGGGAGACTGCCTGTCTCAGTACCCTCAGTGGCTTTCTTGTCTCACCCTCTTCACTCTTCTCCAGCATGCTAGTTGTTCAAGCCAGGGGTGAACTAATTGAAATGCCCAAAGATGATTCTGTATCATAAAGCTTTTGCATGAAGGAGATACTGGTCACCACCTGGAAAGATGGCCTGGATGATGGCATAGATGGCTGCTTCTCAATGCAGGAGTTAGCATTGGTGAACAAACCTGGGTAAGCCTGGAGATCCCTTGGTTTCTTATCCAGTCTTGTATCCTTGCCTTGGTCTTCATTCATCCTTGGGGTATACTTAGAATGCATCTGTATTTTGTTTATTTATTTTTTTAAACACGAATCTGAAGTGACTTGTTACTACATGCAACACAAAGGGTCTTGATTAAAGTACTAACACAGTGCTCTAATTCATAATGACCATGGGTTCATCACATTGCTAATTACTGTGACAGATCAACATGTTTCTGTAGTAAGCCCTCTTAGGCCATCTTGTAGAAATGGAATCCTAATCTCCTGGAACTAAGACACTTTTAGTGAGACCCCTGGCCTATTGCAGGATGGTCACCATCAAACTCATGCTTCCTGGGCCAGGTTCCCCATACTCTGCATAGGAATAAGCTTGGTTCTCCTCCCTTAGCTGTACTAGTGTGTGCCCAATACACACTTGAAGTAGGAGAAGCGGCAACTGAGGAGTAGTAAGTGTTGAGCACATCTGTTACTAGGCCACACCTTTGATTTTCAGCTGGAACCTTTAAGTAGTAAGTAGACTACTTGCTAAAATCCTTTCAGGCTAAAGCTTCAAGGGGTCACATTAATAGTAGTCCTACCCTCTGAGTCTTTTCCAGGTGGGCACTCTTGGCTTGGGCAGGGGTGGAAGTGGTTCAGAGTAGGAAGAATAATGCTGTGCTTTAGACAGGTGAGAAAGGCCATAGAAAGCATTTAAGGTACTGGTGTGAGCAAAGGTTCCAAGGGTATCTGTTTAGGGAGGACCTGCCTGGGTACACAGGATATCAGTGTTCTTGCCTTGGCAATTTGTGCATGTATCCTTGGTTTATTGCAAAATGACCTGCTCTGATACACTAAGGATGCTGTAGAATTTGAACAGGATGCATTAAGCCCCTTGCTTAAAGGTGATACATTGACACCAGGAAAACCTGAGGTGCAAAGAAATCTTGGAGTAGGTTAAAGAGCTATTTCCCAACAGTGAATGAGAGGTGAGGATTCCAACTGGCTTTTCTTCTGGTTTTATGTTTCCAAGACCACTTTTTGAATGTGCCTTCAGGCTGGTCCCTTAATGATCTCAAACTTACCTCTTCCTAAATTATAGTAAGAACCCACCCCATCCCCCACCCCCGAGTCATGAAAGAAGCACTAGACACCATGTGTGCTGGCACCTATAACCCCAGACCACAGGAGGCTAAGGTGGAAGGGTCACCAGTTTGAGGCCAGCTTTGACAGGACTCAGTCTCAAAACTGAAAGCAGGTGCTGGAGAGGTTTCTCAGCAGTATACTGCTCTTGTCATTTCAAGTGGCTTGCAAGCACCAGATCCAGGGGATCCCTCACCTTGAGCCTTCATGTGCACCTACATTCACATGCTCATTGCCACATACAGACATACACACATAATGTAAAATCAAGGTAGTTTGTAGCTGAAAGAAATGCCTGGCTGAGACCTGGCCCTTCAGACCAGTGTAGCTCTAAATGGTAGCCACCAAAGCTCAGCAGGCATACCCAGATTTTTTTCTTTTCTTGGCAAAGCGTAGCCTTTGTTCTTCCTAATTAACCTAGTAGTTTGGTAGCATTTACTCTGCAGAGACTATTTATAGTTCAGTGAGAAAGGAGAAAATAAGATGAACTTCCAGAAGCTTTGGAGCTCAGATTCTACTGAGAAGGAACCAGAAGTTGAAAGTTGCTTCTAAAACATGCAGGGCTAGGGTGTTTTTCAGTGGTAAAGTGCATTCTTAACATACATGGGACTCTAGGTTTCATCCCCATGCTAATAAATAAAATACATACTAGAAATTTTGACTTGTGGCCTTTTGAACCAAGATAAATTCCTTTACACCTTGAGCCCTGTTGGGAGTTACCACTCTTCCATACCTTCCCAGTTTCACGATTACATGAGGACCAGCCAGCCTACCATTTCTTTTACTTGCTGAAGGGCTGTATGTTTGGGCACTTGATCACATGTTGGAACAGGATATAAACAGCTTTATGTCTGACCAGCAAGGCCGTTTCTGAACAGGACAAGGAATAGAGAATGTAGGATTGACTTTGACCTCAAGGCTCTTTGTAGATCTTTGGGACATGTTAATTCTTAGATTCTAGAAACACAAAGACGAATGTCAGTTTATCACACACACTATATAAAATCACAGCTGGGAATCAAACTAACCCAAGAAATATGAATCTTTGTTGATGATAATAATAACCAGCATAATTGACTGCTTATGTGCTAAGCACTGTTTCTGATCCTTAAGGCAACCTTACAAGGTAAGTACTTTTTCCTTTCTTACACTAATAAATGAAACTGGAGCTGAAAGGATAAAGGAATCTCCAGAATCACACAGCCAGGGACAAACCAGGGTGTCCTCTTTCCCACTGCTGCGGGATGCTGGCACTCATCACTGACAGTATAGCAGATGACAAAAGTGTGGTAGTACACATCTGTAATCCTAGCTCTTAGGCAATAGAAACTGGAAGATCTAGAGTTGAGGTCATCTTCAGCTGTATAGCAAGGCTAGCCTGGACTGTGGAGTCCCTGTCTTAAGAAAAGAAAAAGGGGGAAAGAAGGAAAAGGGTTCCATGTGTACCTTAAAGCACATCAGGCTGGTTTCCAACTTCCTATGTGCAAGAGGGTGTCTTGGAGCTGCTTATTCTCCTACCTCCCAAAACAACACTATAGACATGTAAAAACAAGGATTCTCTCAACCAAGCCACATGCCCAGCCTGTAAAGCACTATTCTTGAACTTTAATGTGCACCTAAATCCCAAGGAAGACTTGCTAGTACACAGGCTGCCTATCCAACTAAACTCTAGGGTTTCTGATCTGGTAGGTCTGGGTGGGACCTGAGAATTTTCATTCTCAGCAGATTCCAGCTGCTGCTCCTTGAGAATCGCTGCCTTAAAATCTTCCCTGCAGCTAGGGAAATGATTGTTTTCACTCTGGTTGTTTTTGGAAGTGCCACACCACACAGAAATGTAATTTAATTCATACTCTTGACTCCCTGAGGAAGGCACCTGTTGTCTTTCATTGGTGTCCAGATGTTTGTCCACATCGAGAACATCCAAACATCACTCCTCAGTCTTTCTTTCCATTCTGGCTGCCCCCTGAGGTCTTGCCCATGCTTCCATGCTTCCTGGCGTGTTCTCCTTTGCTGACCATCTTTCCATAGACAACTGGTGTCATTCTCCCTTTCCTCCCTCCCTTCATCCTCTTCTCCAGTTCTTTATCCTTAGGGCAGTTCAGCAATTCCCTGAGTAGGCTTCATGCAGTGTAATTAATGTGTTTTGAAAGAGGGAGGAGCCTGTTGGGAGTAGATTATGTGAATTTCCCCATCTTTTCACCCACAAACCTAACCAGCTCTGTCATTCTCTAGAATCTGCCCATTTGATCCCATTTTTCTTATGGTCATGATGCTCTTAGACAATTCCCAAACCCCCTTACTGGACCAGGGCTCAGTATCAGTGTGGTCCATGAAACCTGCTCCTGACTGTTGAGACATCCATATTCAGGCCCTTGCTGCTTAGGAGGCTGCCCTCTGCTATCTCCAAGCTGCCAGGGAATAGAGGGAATGTCTCTCCCCTTCCCAAAAAAGTTTTCCATATACCATTCCCAGCTTTTTTCACAACTTCATTTATATCTCAAGAAACATCACAATCTATGACTGCCCAACAATCTGGCCACCTCCACCACGCCTGTAACTAACCCTGCCATTTCCTGAAGCTGTTCCACCTCTGATGACTCCACGTCTTTTTAACCCATGCTGGCCTCAACAAAGCAAGTTTTATGTAGTTCTAGGTTTCTCCTACAGGAATGAATTGGGGGTGGGGGGGTGTTGTGTTTTGGTTGCTTTGTTTTGTTTTGTTTGTAAAGGCAGGGTAGAGAGACATTATTCTAGGGAAACATCCCCTGCTACTACAAGAGTACATTTGCA